CACTGGTGCTTGTTGCTGTGGTGGGCTTAAACCGCCTTAGGAGCATGGTTTCCTGAGGGGTGAGGGGTACAGGAGGACTGGCCTGGGACAGGGAGAGACCTCCTTGGAGCTCTGTTTCAAAGCGACTTCTTTGGCAAGTGCCCATTTGGATCCTTGATTGGCTTCAGTACTTGGAAAGCATGAGAGCTCCACCCTAGATTCTCGGCAAAGCCACACTGCCACCAGACAGCCAGCTGTTCAGGGAGTGCCACCTCAAGGTATTAAGGTGGGGAAAACTGTCTTCCGTGCGTATAGTGGAAAGTGCTCTTGGCGGCCTGAGTTGAACTTGTGGCTTGAATTCTTACTACCCTTTACTAAGAAAATCTGCATCTGCTGTGTAACTTGTCTGCAAGCTCCTTGAAGGCAGGGATCAAGTCTGAGCTGTATAGCTCCGGTGTCCAGCAGTATCTGCCAGCACACGGCAGGGGCTCGATGAACAAATGAGCAGCTATTTGCTGCTGGTAATTTGGGGCATGTCCTTTATCCTCTTTGAGCCCCAGTGTCCTCACGCATTGATTTGGGACAGCACTCCTCTCACCATGGTTGTATGGCGAAGGTTCCGTGAAAGAATGCTGATGATCATAAGGGAAGGGAAACAAAAATAATGTAAGAACAGGGAGGGGGACAGAACGTAAGAGACTCATAGATATGGAGAACAAACAGTCTGCCGTGAGGCCCCTGGCACCCCCCCAGCACGAGCGGGCACCCCCGCTCTTTGCCGCAGTGGGTGCAGACGGCATCAGCAGTCTGCCTTCCTGGGGAGTTCAGGGTGGAAGTGTACAATGCAGAGCGGCAGAGCCCCCCGTGTGGTCACCTCACTGCTCCAAAGTGTGATTTCTTTTCAGTGCCACCAGCTACTTCCCTAGTTCACAGCAGACACTGACTGAGGTCCTACAATTTAACTCCATCCTGACACTGTCTACCTGGAGATGGCAGGTTAAGGGCTCAGGCCCGCGAGACTGCCCCCACTTAAGAGGCCAGTCGCAAACCCAGGTTGGCACCTGTGCTTCCGACCCACCTGCTGTGGATAAGAGGTTCCATGGCCTTCTCCTCAGGTTCAGTTAATTTGCTAGAGCAGCTCACAGAGCTCAGAGAGTTATTTTACTTATTAGGTTTATTACAAAAGGATGTGACTCAGGAACAGCCAGATTGAAGAGGTAGGTAGGGCGAGGTCCGGAAGGGTCCAGAGCACAGGAGCCTCTATCCCCAGGGAACTAGGGTAGCCGTCCTCCCCCCTGGAAGCTCCTTTTGAATTTTAATGGAGGCTTCAGCACAGAGACAGGGGTGGTTAGATCATTGGCCATTGGTGATTGAACAAATCTGCTGTCTTCTCCCTCTCTAGAGGTTGAGGGGTGGAACTCAAAGGTACAGCCTTCAGTCACATAGTTCCCCTGGCACCCAACCCCCCCCCCATCTACAGGTTATCTAGGGGGCTCAGTAACATAACAGAAGACAGCATTAGGGCTTTCTTGGGAAATTTTAGGAGCTTTAGAAATTTTAGGAGCTCCATCATATATATATATGTTTAATTTAATATAAATTAATATATATTAATATATGTTTAATTTAATATAAATTAATATAAATTAATATATGTTTAATTTAATAAATATATATATTTAAGTTTTTAAATGTTTATTTTTTGAGAGAGAGAGCACAAGGAGCACAGAGGGGGGAGGGGCAGAGGGAGAGGGAGACGCAGAATCCGAAGCAGGCTCCAGGCTCTCAGCTGTCAGCACAGAGCCCGACACGGGGCTCGAACCCACAGACTGTGAGATCAGGACCTGAGCTGAAATCAGAAGCTTAACCGACTAAGCCACCCAGGTGCCCCCATCCTATATATTTCTTATAAGTCATAACATCACAGCCCTGAAGAGAACCTTGCTCTGGTTTCCGTCTGCCTCCTTAGGAGACTGGCTGGGAGGGAAACATGCTGGCTCTGGCTTGCCCGGCCACAGAGCAGCTCCGAGATACAGGGGCGACGATCCCCTTTGCGGCCCTGAGCTCCCTCTGCTGTCGTTGGTTATTCTGCTGGGCAGGGAGAAGCTGTGGCAGGTCTGCCAGCAGCAGAGCACGTTCCTTCTGTTCTTCCTGATTCAGAGCTAATCAGATTCTGACTGCGCCCCGGGCTCTCTGGGGATAAATCTAATAAAGGCGGGGAGGACGGAGAACAAGTGACCCGAGGACATCCTCTCTCTGGTAGATTTTTCCTGTTAGAGTTAGGGCAGAGGAATAGATCCCCAGGAGACCCAAGGAAGAGTAGGACGCGTTCCTCGGAGGAGGCACGACAGCAGACAGGCACAGGCGAGCTTCGTGGCAGGCAGGCAGACTGCCGACGGGGTAAGTGGGCTCCAGGCCAGCGTTGGGGATGCAGAGGTGGGGACAGAGAAGAAAGAAATGTCCCTTTCGGGTTGTGGGGCAGGTGGATGGAGGGGAGGGTGAGTGGCAGGGAGCCGGAAGAGAGGCGCAGGGAGTGAGGCAGAGTGTTGTGAGAGCCAGGGAAGCTGAGTGGACTTGGTGAGAAGATGCGGGGCTGCAGATGGAAACTGAGTTAGGATCGTGTTACAAGTGTTGCCATTTCACTGTCAGCCGCCCCCGTTTGCACAAGGTGGGACAACATGAGTTGGGGAACTGGCCTCGTCCTCATCCTTGTCCCTGGCAGGTCTGGTGGGTTAGAAGGGGTACAGAGATTGGGGTGGAAGCTCCATGCTCTGGCTGGGGTGGTGGCAATGAAGATGGCCAGGAGGGAAGTGATGGTGGGGACCCTTGGGGAGAACCCCGAGGATTCGGTGGCCCGTCTGTAGAGGTGTCAGCGTCGGGACCAGGAGGACAGCCGCAGCGGCCACCTGCACGAGGTCAGGATTGGATTCGGTTATGACGACGATGGGCAGATGAATTGACTAGGGATGTGCAGAGGAGTTTGAAGTGTTTGCTGATGTCGGTAGAGATGTGTGGTGGGTAGCTAGAAATGGGGTTTGTATTTGGGGGAGAGGACAGAACTGGCCCTAGATGTAGGAGTTGCCTTGGGTAAAGGTGACAGATATGGACGGTGGCAAGAGTCTCAGAAATAGGGGTTCATTGTCTGCCAGGGCTTCTGGAAACAGGTGTTCCCACCTGCTATGGGAGTGTGTTTGGAAGATCATTTGATAAAATGTCAAAAACCTAAACGAGAACATAGCCTTGCTGCAGGATTCCAATTCTCCATTTAGGAATTAATGAGACACATGTGCAAAGGTGATCGCATGGTGTGGTTTATTTAGTGAAAAATTGGAAGGTAGCTAAATGTTGAACAGTTGGGATTGGGGTTTGGTTAAAGTGTGGAACAGCTGTATGGTGCAGTCTTGTGTTGTCATTGAGACAATGATGTGAATGTATATTCATGGACAGGAAAAGATTCACAGGATCTACTGTTAAGGTAGAAAAGCAGGTTAGAAATCGGTATGTCTCTATTTTTATAAAAGAATGTATATGTAGAAAAAAAGGATGTAAGGACACACATGAAAATGCTGATTACTTGTAATTTTTTCCCTTTTTATGTTAATCTGTATTTTACTGTAGGGAGTATGTATTAGTAACACTCGCCACTGCCCCCAACTTTTTTTAATGGTGAAGTTGCCAAAATTTGTCAGATGTGGCAGAGAGAATCGGGGGGTAAAAAGAGACCTCCCCAATTACTAGTAGAAGACCGGGCCGACTGGACACTTGTTCTTGAGCGGTACAGGGTGGAGAGAGACAGCAAGCGCTGGGTGTTAGAGGGAGACCCAGAACCCATTAGGCCATGTCTCTGCGCCGCTGTCCTTCTCTGGAATGTTTCCACTGCTGCTTGGAAAGCCCAGGACGCTGCGGGCAGAGAACCTCTTTCTGTGGGCTCGGGACCCTGCAGCACCGAGGCAGACAGATGGAGGAGGCCATCCTTGTTCATCACCGGCCTCGTGCCCTGGCTGCCTCTCCTGACTGGGCGTGTGGGCCAGGCCTGGGCTCCGGGTGGAGAACTATCTGATTCAGGGTGAAGAGCTTGCGCGAAGGCCATCCTGACCCTGGGGGAGGCTAACATGGGGGTGCACTGGGCAGAGGAGCCAGGAAATGTGCTTACCACACACACAAACACATGCACACACGTACACAGGCATGCAGGTGCACACACACAGGCACACATGCACAGACCCCTGAGCAAGACTTTCCCAAGCCTCCTGGAACTGCCACTTTCTTATCTGTGGCATAGGGACAGTAACTACCTGCTTTACTGTCCCATACAGGATGGCTATGAATTAAGTGATGTGTATGAAACACCCCATGGGCTCTGAATGCCAAGGTGCTACTCCCTGTCCTGAGTAGGGGTGCAGACCCGGCGGGCCCTGAGCGTGGGGGGAGGAAGTTGTGGCAGGGGGAGCAGGCTGTGGGGCTGCTCCTGTTCCCCACGTCGTCTTCAGGCAAAGCAGGGTCAGAGCACGGGGGCAGCTGTGGGGGCTGCACCCAGGCTCCTGGGGAGGGCAGGATTTCTCCTTCTGTCGGCCACACGCTGGGTGCATGGGTGCAGGGATGTCAGCTTTCTCATTCTCTCTGGACGTACTTGTGACCCATCTGGAGGACAAACCGTGACTAACTCTGTACCTTCAAGGGATTTTCTCACTTCTCTGAACCTCCTCTGTGAGCCCCACCTGAGAAAAGCCAGGGCCTTGGGAAACAGAATGCAAGGCACAGGCACGTCCCCCCACCTCTGAATCTGGAGGACCTTCACTTGCACCCTCACTGCATCTCATAGCCAGGTGCTGGCCTGTCTGTCTCTGGGGGAAGCGGGGCACCTCTGCTGAGCTGTACTTGAATCTCGGGAAGGGATGGAAGCACTGCTGTAGCACAGGGGCCGGGAGAGGTGGGTGGAAGGGGGCAGCGGGCTTCGGGAGGCCGGGACGTGGCCTCTGGAAGCTGTGGGCCACTCTGAGCTTTGCTGTTTTCCCTCCAGCAGCTGCCTCAGCATGGAGAGCCACGCAGGCCTGGCGGCCACCCCCAGGGCGCTGCCTTACTACGTAGCTTTCTCCCAGTTGCTGGGCCTGATCGCAGTGGCCACGACTGGTGCCTGGCTCGGTCTGTACAGGGGCGGCATCGCCTGGCAGGGCGTCCTGCAGTTCAACGTGCATCCCCTCTGCATGGTCATAGGCCTGATCTTCCTGCAGGGAGATGGTGAGTCCCACCCTTGCTCCTGAGAGCGGCGGTTTGCAGGAACCCTATCATCCCTGGGGTCTCCTGCACTTAGACACATCTAAGATTCTAGAAAAGACAGGAAGGAAGCTGGCTTGGGGCCTGGGAACACCAGGCATCCAAATCTAGGGGCCTGAGGTTTGTGGAGCATCCAAGGGTGTGCGTGTAGAGCAAGCAGCCCAGGGGCTGGGCTGTGAGCTGAGGCTGGCTTCTGCAGGGGTGGTTTGAAGTTGGAAGAAAAACGGTGAGTGTGCGTGTGTGTGCGCATGTGTGTGCGTGTGCATGTGTGCATGTGTTGGGGGAATGGTGGACTTGGCAGAGCTGCAGCTCCTCTCTGGGGCAGGAGTGAGCCTGTGACTGGCCCCCACCCTGCCTTCTGTGTGGCCTGCTCTGGTAACAGGAAAGCTGGATCTGGATCTGTTTGACCCATTCTTCCTAGGGGCGGTCCTGGTGACAGCCATTCCCCAGCAGCAGATTCCTAAGAGGCATTCCCCGTGCCACCTGGCCCTGTCTGGCTCAGCCCTGTGAGGGGGATTAGCTTGGGAATCGGGTTCCCCACCTAGGGAACCTGGTTGCGGAAGGTAGTGAGTATCTGCTCAGCTTCAATACTGGGCTATTTGAGGACCATCAGAGCTAAGAGGTGAACTCAGAAGCTTGGTGACACCTAAGCGTGACTGCACGAGGAACCGAGGACACAGCCCAGAATACACGGGACACTTGATAAGAAAGTGGTGGCGGCAGGGGCGCTAGGGCACACCTACCCGAGGGCCCCCGCGAGGCCCCACGGAGTCTGTTTCCTGTCCTACTGCCTGTGGCTGTGGTGCCTTGCCAAGCCCTTGGTGCAGATCACCTCTGCCAGCCAAGCTGCGTCTCCTCGCTGCCTGTGGCAGGCGGGCCTGACCTTCCCTTTCTCACTCCCTGAAAGCCCTGCTGGTTTACCGTGTCTTCAGGAACGAGACCAAACGCACAACCAAAGTCCTGCACGGGCTGCTACACGTCTTCGCGTTCATCATCGCCCTGGTGGGTGAGTTCCTGGGCACGGCTTTCCCTTTCCCCCACCTCTGCTTCTAACTTGGTGGGGGGGGTCGCCGCTTGACACGCCTGGTCTCCACGCCGGTTCTGTTGTGGTCCTGTCCCCATCCCTCCCGCGATCCCCCACCCCCCAGGCATCCCCGGCTGGGACGCTGGGTCCTGGCAGCCCTCAAGCTGGGACCAGATCCCAGAAGTCCCGGCTGGTTGGGTTTCCCTTGGGTCACCTCACCCGCTCCCCTCCCCACCAGCCCTGTCCTCACACGGCCCCTCTCTCCGGTCCAGGCCTGGTGGCGGTGTTCGACTACCACAGGAAGAAGGGCTACGCTGACCTGTACAGCCTGCACAGCTGGTGTGGCATCCTCGCGTTTGTTCTCTACTTCGTGCAGGTGGGCGGTTCTGCGCCTCAGCGGTGGGGTGGGGGCGGGGGTGCACGAGGCCACGGCGGGGCCGCCTGTGCCACAGAAGGGCCCGCTTTCCCGGGCGTGTGCCTGAGAGTGGAGGAGGTGCTTTAGCACAGTTGGACGCTGCTTTCGGATCCCCAAGGGGGTACGAAAGCCAGGATCTCCCAGGCGAGGGTGCCTCAGACCCAGGCCGCCTTCCAGCTGACGTGGCACATGTGTCTGGCCACGGGCCCGGGCTTCCAAGCGTTTGAGCGCGATGAACCGAGATAGGCCTCGAGTGCCGGGGCCAGGACCTTTCCCAAAAGCGCTTACTGCTCCCCCCACCCTGCTCTTGAGATGAAGAAAGCCAAGCGGTGGATGGAGGGGTTCCCAGACTGCGTGTGGACATGGCCTACGTGGGGTGACCTCGGGTGGGTCAGACGGCGGCCGGCTCAGTCTCCGGCACCACCCCGCCTTTCCTTGTAGTGGCTCGTGGGCTTTGGCTTCTTCCTGTTCCCTGGAGCTTCGTTTTCTCTGCGGAGCCGCTACCGCCCGCAGCACATCTTCTTTGGCGCCACCATCTTCCTGCTCGCTGTGGGCACAGCCCTGCTGGGCCTGAAGGAGGCGCTGCTGTTTAAACTTGGGTGAGTGTCCTGTGCCACCACGGGCCTCGGGAGACGGAGCCCTGCCCTCTGCTTCTCTGGGCCTCTGCCTTCTGAGGCAGCTTCTTGTGGAGTTAGCGAAGCAGCGGTTTTCCTCTCGGGGCAGGGGATGGGTGGGGCTGGGATTGGAATACCATGCCAGCTTTCTGGCCTTGGTGTGAATGGCATTTGGGCCTGACCGTGACCCCTCGGGTGGCTTCTCCCTTCCACCCAAACCCTGCAGGGCCAAATATAGCACGTTTGAGCCTGAGGGCGTCCTGGCCAACATGCTGGGCTTGCTGCTGGCCGGCTTTGGCGTGACTGTGCTCTACATTTTGACTCGCGCTGACTGGAAACGGCCACCCCAGGCGGAGGAACAGGCTCTCTCCATGGACTTCAAGACGCTGACCGAGGGCGACAGCCCCAGCTCCCAGTGACGGCCTGCCCTCGTCCCACAGGGAGGGTCTGGCTGCGGCTGGCCTCCTCGGTTCCGGGAGGTTCTGATAGGCGTCTTTGCCGTGCCCTGTCGAGGCCGTCTTTAGGCCGGGTGGCTCTCGGGGAGGGCTCGGCAGTGTCGGTAGGGACCGTGAGGGCAGCGTTCCCCCTCGAGCGCTGATTTCTGGGGTTTAGGGCTTGACCTCCTCTACTTTCTTCTCCTTGCTGCTGCTTTAGAGTCCTGTTAGTCATGCACAGACCCCTGCCCCTGTTGTCGCTGTCACCCCCTCAAATCAAGAAGCTTTGGGTAGAATTTTGGGTGGTCAGGCCTGGTCACAAAGGCATAGATCCCTGAAGGAGATGCAGGGTGGCTCTCCCCTTGAGGCAGCGGATGCTGGGCCGCGTCCAGTGGCTGCAGAGAGCACAAAGCTGTGGGATAAACTGGGGCTCAGCGACCGGCCTGGCAAGGCCAAGACTTGCTTTATGTAACACTGAATTCAAACCAGGAGTCTCGCTAGTCTGAATAACACGGTGGTGTGAATGGGCCCAGTCTTTGGCAGTAGAGCAAGTGATATTATGTGTAAAATATGTTGGTATTCGGAGCGAGGTTCCCCAGGAGAGGGGAGGGACTGGCCCCTGGGAAGCTCTGGAGATGTGGCTTTGGCCCAGCTGTGCTCTTGGCCTCCCCTCTCTTCAGTCCTCAGCCCCAAGATGCTGTGCTGGGTGGGAGAGGGACAGGGCACAGGACTAAGACAAATTGTACTTGGCGGCTGAGAGAAGGGGAAGGAGGTGGCCCCTCGCACTGGCGGGCTGGGTGGTAGGCTGGCCACTCCCTGCAGGGGCCCGGGCCACCAGTGCCCCGGTGTCCCTGCCCTCACAGCCTGGCTCTGACTCGAGGCCGAGGGCATACGTCTTGTTTTTGTTTTTAAACAAAAAACTGCCCTGTTGCCCCCTTTCCCTTTCAGTGGGGAAGGCAGGGCCGCCTGCTTCTGTCCAGGAGGAAAGCCTCATCCCCTTACCTGGGCCCATCTTTGCAGGAGGTTGAGACGGAGTTGGAATTGGGTTAACTCCCCCCAGCTGTGTAAGTGTGTTATGCTGCCGCCTGAGTCACTCTTTGGATTCAGTCTGGAAGTAACGTGATCAGAGCATTGACCTTGTGCTTCTTGGACTTGGGGAATGCTCTCTTCTTGTTTTCCTCATTTTCTGGGCTTTGAGGAACATGACAGTTTGAGACAGACACAGCTTACTTAAGTGAAGAAATGAATGAGGTTTCTAAGCCCGGCTACTGTTCTGTAGATGGGTTGCCTTTTTCTCACCTAACCGCTGCCTTAGAGAAAGGGGCTGGCCGCTTCTGATGCTCAGATTTCTAACCCTCCGCTTTGCCACAGGCCCTGCCTTAGGCAACAACGCCAGTTCTCCCAGCAGGTGCCTGCAGGTCCGGAGCCCTCCCCAGCAGGGCTGCCCAGGCCCCTCGGAGCCTCTCCCGGCCTCCCTGTCCCAGCCTCCCTGCCTCCGCCGCAGCTTGTCTGGAGGCTACACCGCGTGCTCCGCCAGGAAGGGGCTCCGTCAATTCTTTCACCACCTGGCTCATGCTGAATAGCCAGGTATTTTACAGGTGGAGAGACTCCTGCTTGGACAAACTACCAAAGTACAACTGTGTATCTACCCGCTCCCCCCCCCCCCCCCCCCCCCCCCCCCCCCCCCCCCCCCCACCGCCTCAGAATGCCACTTAGAGAAACGGAACCTTAAATTTGCAGTAAGAATCTGTAAACTGGTCTGTTTGCCAACGTGTATGTTGGATGATTAAGGAGGCCCCCTGAAAGCTGATCCACTGTGGTTTATTTTACTTTGCCTATGGCCAGTTGTCTGTGAAGTACAATGTAGCGTCGGTGCAACAGATGATTCAATAAATGTCTACAGCTGATCTCTGGCCTGTTCTCTTCATTCACCCTGGCAAAAAAGGGGCCAGTGCTTTTAGCGGCATCAGACGTGTGAAGTTAGTTCTACCAGGCTCGACAGAAACTGAACCTCCCCTCCCCCCACGCTGGGCACAGAAGGTAAAGCGATTCGTGATCTCTGTCATGGCCCAGGGGCTGTTCAGTCTCTGGACCCAGAGTGGGAGGCTCTTCCTCATGGTTAGAGAAACCCTTTTCCCAACCCAGAGACAGTGGCCTGGAGGGTGGAGCGTGGTAAGGGCCTCGGCAAGAAGTTTTCCCTAGTAGTCACTCAACTTTTTACCTTTTAAAAGAGATGTCTCTTTATTCCTTAAGGAGAGGAGCAAAGCTTTGAGAACGAGGCGGGATTCCACTTGAGAGCAGTTCCTAAGACCCAGGCAGGAGATGTGTTTATATGAAGTTGGGCTGGATCTCACGCTGGGATACACTGCGCTCCCGTCACCTAAAACAAAACACTAGTTAAAGGGACCCCTGCAGCAAATCCTCTGAGGAGTAATCCTTGGGGAACAGGAGTCCTTCCTAACATTTATTTTCTGTGTTCTCCAGAGGTCTTTGCTTTCTGCATCTGTAGAATCTTTCTCCTGAATCAAGGCTTCTGTGAGAAACTTCATTTGCTTAAAAGCATGCAAAGCACGTGGCATGATACATGTCCCAAGCTGATCGCTCAGTCAAGATCACAGCTGGCTCTCAGTGTGCGGGGAGAAGCAGCTGGCTCGTCTGCAGGCTGTCTCACTTCCGGCTCTTGTGCTCACTTCTGGATCAAGGGTCTTTGTGTTTGTGAATATTCAAATGATCCCAGACATGAAGGTCACGCCTCTCCCTCTAGACACGCATCTCCTCTCCTTCACCTCCTCAGGAGTCCCTCACCTTACTGGGTTTGGAACCCCCCGAGTCCCAAAGTTTTCAGACCAAGCAGGTGGTTGCTTCCGGAGTCCTCTTCTCTCCTCTCTGAAGGCCACTCTGGCATCTAGGGTGCGTGACTGCGTGCCCGGAGTTTTCCTGCTTCCCCGGCTCTGTTTGGGGGAAATGGATGTGGTTATGCAACAGGGATGTTTGTTCAGCACAACGTGGTGTCTAGAGGAAGCGGTCTCTTCCCTTGCTTGTCCCTGCAGTAGACAGAGAGGTACCAGCCGGGCAGGAAACCCGCAGCCTCTCCATTTACGATGCAGCCGTCTAGCTCTCTAGACGGTGAGGATGGCAAATTCTGGCCAGATTTCTGAAGAGAAGATGAAGCCACTGGAAGAAGCTTTGACGGAGTTAGCCTCAAGGACTCTAGCTGGGGCTGTCCCCTCACCTCGGGCTCCCACCGCAGCCCGCTTCAGGCAGCAAGACAGGGGTGCGGGCCTCAGCTACTACAATGAAACAAGAAGAGCTCAGTGCTCCCTTGGTTTGGCTGGAGAGAAACTCACCAAAGAAAAAGCCTCTCTTTCTCAGCGGGCGCTGCAAGCCTTCACTGAAAGGCCCTTAGAACCGTCTTTTCTTAGCCACAGATCTCTCGAGCGCCTACAGCGCTGTCTCAACTCCGAGGAGGTGCTCAGTCACTTCGCTGAGTGAATACGAGCCCAAAGGGGTGACTCCGCTTGTTCCGCAAGAGACCAACCAAATCATCAGGAATGTGGCCTCTGTCTCAACCTGCCAAAGTCGTGTCCCTGGGGGAGGGCTCCTCGGCACGGCAGGCCTCAGTGAGGGGGAGCCTGAGTCAGCCCCCCAGGCAGGTATCGTAACATAAGGAGAAAGCACCACAACACCGTGTTTTTCCAAGTGTTACCCTTTATAAATAAGTACATTTGCTTTCATACATACAGTTCATTGTACGGATGGCGATCTGTACACATGGGCAGGAGAATGCATTCATTTACCTTTTCACATCTACCTCACACAGCTCACATGTACAGACAATACAACTGCTCAAGCAAGTACAGCAAAGGAAAATGTCTTTCCTTATACACAGGGGGCTAGATGCCTCTGTGGGGTGCGGGACATCCCCACTGCACGAGTTCACAACTGTGTGGTGTTCAATATATCGGGAGAGAGAACAAACATGCATTGGATAATATACTGTACAGAGAAAGTCCTTTACATCTGAGTCATAGAAAACCTAAAGGAAAACTAAGTGCATTAAAGCTTTTTCCAGCAAGTGTCTTGAAAGGACAGCAAAGAGGAGGAAGAATCAAAATCATATTAGTACAAATCACTCTTTAATTGTAGACTGTACATGTCTGTACTAATTAAAATCATCTTGGATTTGGAGGAGACAGAACAGAGACGGAGATGCTGCGCTGGATGGAAAGGAGGCCATGCCTGAGAATGGCACCTGCCCTGAGCCTGAGGAGGAACTGGCCCCACTCAGCAGGAATCAGCCAAAGGAAAAAACAAAAACAAAAATAAACTAGAACAGGAAGTGTAACTTACAGGATTTCCAAAATAACCTGTGAATGGAGGAGAGATCTGGAGCCGGCTTTTCTATCTTTTTTTCCAGTAAGCTGGTACACAATAAGGCAGGTACATTCAAGTACTAAATTTTCCAGAATTAACTCTCTGTCTGGTCCTGGGGACCGAAGGGATCGAGTGGAGTCCCCCTAACCAGGTGTTCTGGTTAGCGATTAGGCAAAAGAAAACTCCAGCCAGTAAGTGCTACAAAAACAAAGCAGCTAGGCTCCTTCCTGTCCACAGAGTAGGTCTGTCTGAAAAACAAGAGTGATGCTGGCCTGCATCTATATGCATTCAGCTAAAAACCCGACAGGTCAGCTTAGTGGAGATTATCAGAGTCAGCAGGAAGAAGTGAGATGGTATGGGTGAGGAAACATGAAAGTAACACTTGATTTTTGGTGTCCAATTACGCATTCATTTGGTACTGACTTTCAAAGCTCTGACTGTGGCCATCATGTGGCCACAAGCATCTCAGGGTGGTTCAGCAGCTGTGAGGCATTGGACACCGAAATGCAGGTTACCAACACTTCAGCCCTTGAGTGGTCTGTGTTATAAAAGGAGTTGATGAAGACCCAGTGATTATTCAAGTAGCTCTGCACAGTGGCTCCACCATTCCCATTGTGCTTGTGTCCAGGCCCCCAGCCAGCCACCTTTTCTTGGGAGCAGCCAGAGCTGAGTTCAAGGCATTGCATGGTGAAGGTTTCCATGACACGTCTTTGTAGGTAGCTCTTACCCCTAAGCCCTTTTTGTTCATTGTTGTTAGTCATGGTAGATGGTCAGTCTGGAATTCCTAGAGGAAAAGGAAAAAAAGCCACACCTCCCAACGTGCGCGCAACGGGGCGGCACAGGCCTTGGTGTGGAAGCAGCAGCAGGCTGCCTTTGCAAGTTGGCTTCGTGAGAAGTGGGCAGCCCAAGGACAGACAGACAGGGTGGGAGAGGCTGGGACAGGGAGGGGACACCCTGCCCCCTGGGGAGCCTGTTCCATTTTGTGGCAAAGGTTCAGTGAGCAACTGGTTTTGTCCAAGGCATTTCTGCAGTAGAAAAATAACTATTTTTGAACCAAACCACCCACCTGTGACATCTCTGGAGTTGTACAAGTTGGAGGCCAAGAGGAACTGAGAGGGGAGCTCATGGGGAGTAAAGAAGACTTCCTCATACCCACCCGGCCATCAGAGGAAGGGAGTTCTAGTCAACATTCTCCGGGCCTCTGCCTGGCTGAGGGTCCAAAGCAGGTAGCGGTCAAAGAGCTTATCTTGCCACGACTGGCACGGATGCGTGAAGACCCCTTTCCAGGTCTTTGTCCCCTCCTTCCTGAACCCTCTGGGCCTGCCTGCTGCCCTGGAAGCAGCCCCTCCAGAGGACGCGCTGCCGGTCTTTGCCACCAGACGAGCCTGGTGCAGAGCCACAGTGACACCTAGTGGTAGAATATGGTTGAAGCAAGGTGACGTCTACATAACCCACTGTATATGACTAAAATCTAAGGAAAATACTTATGGATATTAAATTAGATACTGGTTAATTTTTCTATTGGGTACATCTCTGGGATATAAAAATACCAATATTTAGAGAGGGGTTCATAAACTACTATACAATATAAGGACTGAGAATACCTTTCTCTAGGCTGTTCTGTTTACAATAATTTAGGAAAAGTGTTTAATAATCCAGGCTTAACTAAATTAGCAAACTTGTATCTCTGGACAACGACCTGGGGTACTGTACATGATTCTAATTAGTGGAATTTTCCTGAGCCTTCGAGTTTAAGTTAAACACATCTAGAAAGAGGGGCACGTGGGAGAGGAACAAGAAGGGTTTGTGCTCTATTAATCTGGGGCTTTAATAGTGCACGTCTGCAACCCGGACAAGATACAACAGCAGATACAAAATGGTCTCCATTTTGTCCATGCCAAATTCTCATGTTACACAGGTTTTCCCTTTACTTTGTAAATAAACATTAATTTTTAATTGTTAATTGTGTGCCTTACTGATCCAGTAAATAAAGTAACCATGTCTCAGGAGTCCCTAAGAAAATTGCTGGAAAAGCACTTTAAAATCACTGCAAATATTTTTTGTATTTAAAAATTCTTAATCCTTTTGATGCTTATATACAACAGTTATTTCTTGTGCTATAAATGTTGTGATCCACTGCTTGATTTCTTTCCTTTTTTTCCTTTTTTTTCCCTTGAAAGATACACTAAAAGACAAGAGCGGTTCTGCTATTTTCTAATGAAGACATTACGCACACTTAAATATCCAGTATTTATCAGAGTTACAAATTCAAACAGTAAAGTGCACCCATTTATAGACATGATGTGATGGAAACCCATTAGTGCAAGAATTCTGGGTGAACACAAACGTACAATTTGGTGAGAAACCTAGAGGCTAAAGTCTGTTACCACTGTCTCCATTTCAGGGTGTGTGAATTGGGTGACTGGAACTTAACCAGTTTCATCTGAAAAACTTCCCCCACCAGAAGCCAGACACGGACTCAGTGAGTGCTGCTGGGGGAGAGGGCGTCTCCGGGATACAGTACTAAGATCATCCCATGGCAGTGAAGTAGCACAACAGGGCATGGGCAGTCAGCTGAGCAAGGAAAAATGGTCTCCTGCCCCCAATCAGGTCCAGTCGGCATTTTCTAGTCAAACTCAACTGGCGCCCAGTAGTGACATTCACTCCCTCTTATAATGGCTAAAAAAGAATGGCATTTTGACTGTTTTAAGTGTTTTGCCCAATTTAAGGCATAGACCCTAAATCTCCAGTTTGTCCAGGAAAGCCAAGAGAGACCCTGGGGACAAGTGGCATCAGTGGCATGTCTGGGAGGTGCAGAAGCTGCTCGCTCACCTAGACAGCCGAGTGCAGGTGGTGTGTGTGGCATTCCAGACACACAGGGGCACTTTCCTCACAGACACGGACATCTTTCAGAATGTAGCAGCAGCTCCTCAGTGAGAGGTGGGAGGGGTGAGATGCAAAGGGCCCTGTAGGGCTGAGACCTGGACAAAGCGGGAGCTGGGCTCCCGGCTGCAGGCTGATGCTACAGCTCTACGCTTCCCCTTCTAGGTGGAAGCAAGAGACGGGGAAGGGAAGGGACAAGACACTGGTGCCCATCCTGGTCTGAGTAGGAGACAGTCCCTGGGCATCTGAGAGTGGGAAGATTCTGGGTCTTGAGCTGGCCCCAAGACAAGTCCTGGCCTGTGTCGGGCTTGGGGGCTGAGGGGTCCGTCTATTTGGCAGAATCTAAATTGGTAGAGAAATGTTTCTGATCTCAGCTGCATGCTCCCCAGGTCTTAGTGATACTTTCAGAGGACACTTACTATGACAAACAGGTCTGGTCACATCTGGATTTTTATTCAGGAAACTGCCCTTCCTATAGCCCTTTCTTTACTCACAAGAGCAGAATGATTCGTAGTAACAGAGAACTGATTCTCTGTTGTTCAGCTTCTTAAGTTCTAAGAGCTGATGCGCAGTCAGTACCAGGCCTGTGCTAAGGCTTTGGTTTCAGTGTTCTTGCTGTCCATCCTGTGCTGGCCTCAGTCACGCAAAGGACAGGTCAGCAAACGACCTCAAGACACAGAAGAAGTGTGGAGGGTAACTGCATCAGAGGACCTGCTATCTATCTCATGTTCCCCCACCCAGGGCTGAAAGGGGTCTGTCTGCTCCCTGAAACACTTCACTGTGCCTGGTTTTCAAAAATCACTCCCCAAACCCTCCTACCTAGAGAAAGAAACGAAGAAACAATCCCTAGAGTAAACAGATAATGAAACTATAGATCTTGAAACAGAATCAGACGACACCTGGCATGGGGTGTAACAGTCCTGGGTGCAAACTCCAGGAATAAAGTCTTACAGCCCCAAGAGAATTCAATTTGCTTCTCAAAGAACCAATTTCTTCACGGTACCATGTGGGTTTAAAAGAAAGAGGGCCAGTAGAACACAATGTGGCTCCAGGTGAAGACCCGACAGGACTATTGTACCAAACTTTGGCGAAGAGTTTGCTTTTTATGAGATATGATGCTCAGTGATGTACCAGGACTTAAAAAGTAGACTTCGCCAAGACAAGAGATTTTCTATAGCCTTTTTCTGAGAATCCAGAATAGTCTTTCTTCCTCTCTTCTATATCCCCCCCCCCATGGAAAATCAATAGCTTTTAATAGTTAATTGTTGGCTAAAAACCTAAAGGATAACTCTCAGTGGATTATTTAAAAATATCCATGATTCTCATCCAATTTCCTTGGCTGGGTGAACTATTTAAAGGGCTAGTTGTTCTTTAAATATTCATAAAATGCTTCTTGAAAAATCAACATAGTGACATTTCAAATAATTATATATATATATATATATATATATATTTTTTTTTTTTTCTAATTTAATCGACCTGTTTCTTCTCTTTCTCCTTGATCCTTTTGCCCCCGTAGGAAGACCAGCGATAATCTAAATGAACATTCTAGACCTGATGACTGCAGGGAGCTGGCAGTCCAGGGGAGGACACCATGGCACAAGAATGCACTGGGGTTGGCTATTTGGATAACACTGGATAAGAATGCAAAGGCAAAGGGGCGTCATACTCTTTCTAAAGTTCCTAGAAGAAAACGAACAAGAACATCTTATTTTTGTAAAAAAGGAGAAAGACATTTACACAACAAGAACATCAGTGAAAGCGATTGTCTCCTGGAAAAAGCTGACCAGTGTGTCTGATCTCCCTGGGTTAAAGCACACGGCACAACAATCTCCTCGCTGGCATCGGAAGAGAGGGAGAGAGCATGTGGCTGGGGCACAGACGAGAGAAACTGAAGTCCTGGCTCACGGGAGGCCAGCTTCCCAGTCGGCTGCATGCAAAGAACTCCAGCACGGGGCTGCCACCTCTAAACACCACACAGAAACTGCATGAGAAATTAAGCCAGAGAACTACCTCAGATGTGGAAACCAAGCCTGAAGATGTGCAGTGAAAACATATGGGTCTCACTCCAACGAACGTCTTTTAAACATTAGACTCCACAAATGGTCTCTTTGGTTTGATAGGGGATGTCTGCCCTTGTCGAGAGTCCCGGGACAGCTGCCGGTACAGGTTGTCCTGATATGCCTGAGCCACAGGGAGGGTCCGCGCCACCTTCACATCGGGGTATGAGGAGGCCTGGCCGACTCTCTCCAGGAGGTCTCCGCGGGACCCATTAGCCAGCATCCCATGGGGGCTGTAATAATCGTCCTCCAGCAAATGGCCATTCTGTGCATTGTTGGTTTTGTTATAAAAGGCAATGTTGCTGATGGATGATGGTGGACTGAAGGACTCAGGCTGAGGCAGGTTGCCTGGAGACGTGGGACTGAGAACGGTATCCACGGATGACACGGCCCAGGTCCGATTCTGCTGGTGAAGGTGGGGGTACTGTTGAGTCCGGGCTGTTTTATCTATGATCCCCATGAATGGTGTGGTCCTGGATCGGGTGGGCTCACTGGGGTAACCTCCCTGAGTGGGAGACACCGGTGACAGCTCGTCACATGACCTATCATACGCCGGTTTTAGTGGGATCTCCATTTGTTGAATCGAGGAAGATGGCCGGAAGGTAGGAGTGAGGTTGGAGGCTGATGAGATACTATTGCTAGATGGAGAGAAGCGCAGGCCTACGCTTTGGGAGTGCAGCAATGGCCTGGGAGTTGGTGGGTGGGGCTTGATTTCATTAGGGTTGACACTAATAGGTCTTCTGATTAAATGTGACACATCAGGGGAACCTAGTTGGCTGGAGGAGCGCTCCAGATCTAGTTTTGAGTGACAGACCGGGTAATAGGATGCAGACTGGCTACGGCCAATCTGTGGTGTCTGGCTGTATCTCATACCACCTCGATATGCTGAGGAAGGTCGCTGTGGAAGGTCTTCTTTGGTCAACCCTCCATGCTGACAGATGGCACCTGCACTCAGGCTGGCCTGGACGTGCTGCACGGGCCTCCCATCCCCTACAATCCCCCCAATTGACCCTTGATAAACCAACCGGCTCTGACTTACTCCCATGTCTCCTTGAGAAGACTGGTATTTACTAGCCATCGAGTGGGCTACTTGGCCATAGGCCCCTGTGGAGAGGACGGTGCTTGAATGAACCGCTGAGCTGGGCTGGTTGCTTCTCACAATCTGGGCCTTGGCAGGCTGTAGCCTGAGCCCTTGCTGGGGAACTGCCACAGGAAGCTGAGGCATCTGATAGGGCCGCTGGGCCATTTTGGATAATGGAGATTTTGGTCTGCCAGGAAGCTGACTAACATTTGTTTCTTGCTGATAGCGCACGGGTGAGCCCGACTGGGATCTGTAGACACTCATGCTTTCAGCTGGAGGGCTGGCCCGGTACTGAGGGCCTCTACGGAGGGGGGACGGAGGAGGGCTGGGATAGTCCTTGCCTGGCCCTCCCACGGGAGGGGGGCTAAAGCGGTAAGACCCGCTCTGGTGGGCTGGGGATGTATGTGGTGGGCTGGGCCTGTAATGAGAGTTCTGGTGAGTTGGAGAAAGAGCGGGTGAGGTGGACTGATAGCTCTGTCTGGTGGGAGAGCCTACAGAACTACTGGAACGGAAGTCAAAGACCTGATGCGAGCCGAGCGGTGAGCTAGAGATGTAGGCTGAGTCCCGATGGGCTGGGGAGGAGGGCGGGCTCTGGATTATCGGGAGCCCCTGACTGGGCCGAGCTTCGGTCTGGAGGCCAATGGAGACATTTTCAACATCCTGTTCCAGGTACTCCTCCTCGAACATATCCTGTACAGAGTATACATCTTCGTGCTGTGCTTCGGGTTCCGTTTCTTCTGGTAGCGGCGGCTGAGGCGGCTGCTGAGGCGGCGGCGGCGGTGGCTGCATCTGTCGGCACTCTTCCTCCACGCGCAGCAGGAGCCTCTGGATCTCACGGTTGTTTGGGCAGAGCTTGATGGCCTCGTTCAGATCCTCTAAGGCTGCTGCAAACTGTCTGCTTGACAAAATGTAAACACAGGAACTGGGGTTATTCTGAATCAACGGGAATCACCAAGAGCTGAGGACCACGGTCGCTATTTTAGAGAACTGGGGTGGCATCTGTGGGGGTCTGGGGGATGGTTTTGTTTGATTTGTAAGGAAGGAAACAGGTAGGCAGTCATTCTGGAAGAGTCCAGAATGCTTCCTTAGCCCGTTTACCCTCCATCTTCCTTCTGGCCTCTCTGGGATTAGTAGAGAAATGGCCCCATTTCATCAGTCCAGCCAGGCCCTTCAGGAAGATTCTCTTAGTGCCCAAATGCACACCAGGCAGTATCAGAGTTGGGTGGGGTTGTCATTTACAGGGTCACTGTCAATTAGCTTAGCAACAAAACAGTTAACTACAATATTTAAGAATCTTGCTGATCCAGCATAATTTTTTCTTTATATTCTCGATATTTTGGCTCCGAATTTCAGGCCTGTTCCGTCCTAGGCCAGAAGACCGTCCTCCGCCCTTTTCTTCCCCTTGCACCCCAGCACTGTTGCTCCTCTGTTCTGCTACATCAGAGCTGGGCAGGTATGATGCTTGCTGACTAGGCAACTCGGATTCTAATTTACAGATGAGGACAAGAACTCTCAGAGATATTCCCATCCTCTCTATTAAGATTGCCCAGGAAAGGGGCAACTGGCCTTGTGGGGAAGGAATTATCTGGGGAAAAAGAGAATTTGATAGTCAAGCTTCTGTAAGGACTCTGTTACCCCAGCTAGTTAAGACTAATATTTCTGCCACCATCATTGCTGAGACTTAACCTGGATTTGGTTTTTCAGGACCATATCGCCCCTGGCCACAACACTGACCCTGAAGCAGTTCTTTCCCAGGCCATGTTAAGGAGAAGGGGAGGGCACTGGGCAGGAAGCATCGAGGACAGTGACAAGTTATCCAAAGATCAGTGATGGCTGGTTCTAGGTCTTTCTGGAGCCTTTCCTTCCCATTGGCCAAGCCACAGCAGATGGACACGAGGGATGGAGTTTCTCTTGGGCCCCCTCAATCCTGGCAGCAAGGACCTCCTGTCTCCATGAGTGTGTGGTGTGGTGGTGGTGGGGATTTAGGTGAGGAGGAGGTTTGATGCCACCAGACTTGAGGAGAGCCCCAGAAGGAAGACTGAATACCACAGGGACTCCTCAATGCCTCTAGGAAAAGAAAGAGGAGCCTGTGGTGTAAGTGACCCATCCTATTTCTCTAAAAGGGCCAGGAAGATGTTTTGCTTATGTGACCTCTTCTTAAGTCACCAGTGTCTCTTTATGCTATCTGCTTTAGGGGTTAAAAAGTGACTGAGATACGGCAGAGGCTTCTTGGAAGAAGGTGCCATTCTCCAACAACGCAAAGGCATTTTTCTCCCAAAGTGAAATGTTTTAGAGCTCCACAGCCCTGAAGACACGCCAGTCTTAAGCGGAACTCTGCGCTATGGGAGCCATCCCCAAAGCTTGGCCCTAAAAGTCCTCAGGGATAGACACATTTGGGTACATAGGTCCCAGGACGGCCTACATGGCTTTGGCCGGATTTTCGGAACAGAGATCTCTTGCTTTTCACCCTCTCTCTCTCTCTCCTCACCTGCTGCTGCGTTTGGCCCTTGCTCTCGCATAGTAAGCTTCATAAGATTTCGGTTTCAGCTCCAAGGCCTTAGTAGCAAATTCCTCCGCCATTCCAAAATCCTGTCATTACAATAGGTGTGCAAATGAGTCATTGAAGAGATATGAAAAATAGACAATTTGGGAATAAAACAGATTACAGGTACATTTGTTTGACATTTATGGATGGAACACCTGGGATTCTCGACATGCCTGGCATGGCTCTAGCCACGTGGCCCAGACTGGGAGTTCCTTCACCTCTGCCCTGTGTGGCCCTGCAACAGCTCCCGGGGAATTTATCTGCCTGGAAGCATGAAGATACTTTTAATTTGCCTTCTTTCTGCTGTTCTAATGAAGTTCTTTCTAGCCCAGAAGCCAGATGTTAACCCAGTGAAGCTCCTGAAGTTGGAAACCGGGACTCTTGTTACACGGTGTGTGTGAGGCAAACGTATCCATGTACCTCATGCGGCGCTCATCCTACCCCCGGCTTCCTGTCACACCCACTATTCCTTGGCTTCCTAACGGGTGAGTGAGCTCCAGCAGGATGAGGTCTGCGTAAAGGAGAACCGCACTGACCACGGAGACCAGATAGGGTAGGGACCCCAGACAGACTTGGGTTCAGGCCTCTGGTCCCCCCTGGAGCCCCTGAGAGGGTGTGCTGTGTGTTCTCACCCATGTCTACTCTGCAAGTGCAAGTAAGTGGGATGACGCATTGGAAAGCCCCCGATGCGGTTTCCGGCACATGGCAGAGGCTCGGTAACTGGTAGTTTCCTTTCTATTTCACAGGGGCTTCTCTGGCCTCTCCTTCTCTGAACTGGTTCCCTACTTAGATGCATTTAAAACAAAAAAATTAAAATAAGAGAGGGCCAAGGCTATGACTGGGGTCTGTGTTGTCCCCTCATCTCTTGATCCTGAGGGTCCCTGAGGGTGTGATCTGAGGAGTGGAGTCCCTGAGGAGTGTGGTCTCATGTGTCCTCCTAGGAGAACCCTGGGAACAGGCACCTGGGCAACAGAGCTGTACGTTTAAAGGCAGCCTTCCATACTAAGCTAAAGACAGAGTGCTTTCTCTTCTTTCAATGTCAGAGCCTTAGTACAGTAACCTCTGGTGACATGCGTGTTCCTGAGGCGGAACAAGGGCCTGGGGCATGGGTAGAAATTAACCAGAAAAAGTGATGGGCCATCTCTGACTGAGACGCAGACCTCAGGTGTTTGGTTCAGTGTTGGTCATGGGAGGTGGCTGTCACCTGTTTCTGAGCAAGTGTGGAGCTCTATAGAGAGGAAGTATTCCATCTTATGGGAGTCACCTATTGCTACTCTGTTTCCAACCTTACCCTTCTTTTCTTTTGGACAATCACCATTTCTGGCAAGATTTGGAATGCTTCTAAGGAGCAGATTATTTGTTCAGGCAAAAGAGAAGGCAGCAGGCTGGCGGCAGCTCCTAGCTTCATCTCATTCTCATGGGTTGCTGCCACGGGGGACCCTGGGTACTGCTGATCTGGTTATGTTTCACAGAAGGGCCTCACTGCCTTCCCCTGGGGTGTCCCCTTCCCACAGGAACTGCTACTGCGTTCCCCCTCTCCTCAGCACCTGGGGCAACTCTGCCTCCTCGGGCCATAACTGTGTCCTCTGAGACACGTGCGTCTACAAGGCTCTTCTCGTTGCCAGGGTTTAGATGGAGGATGTGAAGGTCATGTACACAACTGCTAGCAGACCCCCTCTCTGGAAATGCCAGCAGACCCCCTGCCCCTGCAGCTGAAATCTCACTTCTGCACAGCTGAGCTCTCTAAGTATCAGCATTCCTGTTTGGCGTGGATTGTTTTTAGCTCCTGAAGTAACTGTGAGACCTCAGGCTGGGGGCTGTCAGAGATTCCTGACACGATCTCAGCTACTCCCAGTCTCTGAGAGAGGGTTCTTGGCCTGGGAGCATCTGTGTGTCACAGGAGCAGTGGCTGAGGGCATCAGAGATGGTATGTGCGTGGCACGTGAGAAGGTCCAAGTACTACGTGGGAGATAACAGAGGACCAGGAAGAGTTCTAAGATTCCCTCTTTGACAAGAATGGACATGGCATGCTGGAGTAAAAAGATGAGGAGAGGAGGGAAAAGTTCAAGACTAGCCTTTGAAATAAACCTTGAAGTCCATGGTCCTGAGCCTTCTTTCCAGCCCTGCCTTAAGTGACTAGGGGTCTATGAGAAAGGAAGGGAGTGACTAAAATTCATATCTAATTGCAGCTGGAATTCTAGTGACCACTGCTCTCACATTTTCCCAAAGACCAGAAAACTGACTTGGGGGTAGGAGGTAATGATGATGGTATTCCAATCACTTTCAGTGGGAACTAAAAATTCAGAAAGCTACCAAAGTGCCCACAGCATTAACTTTTTTATAGTTTCAGATACGGATTGTAACTTAGACTTGATTTCTTTCAAATTGCAAATGTCAGTGCTCTGTGAAGGACAACCAAGTTCCAAATGGGGCAGAGAACGATTTCAGGGGCCTGGTAAGAGCCAGTGAGTGACACGGGCTGTCAACTTCCAGGGCTGTAGAAAGCAGCTGGGAGGAGAGGGACTTACGTTCATTTTCCTGCGACATCGAGAGAGGTTGAGGAGGAGAGACACTTTTAGTTCCCGGAAGGTTTTCAAGTCCTCACCAAACCCTTCTCTAGGGAATTTCTTCAGAGCGTACTGGTAGCGCTGGGCAGCTTCCTTTACTTTACCTTTCTAACGGGAGTACAAGACGGCAAAACACACAGTTGGTCTGCTGAGCAGCTGAGGAGGTGTGGCCCCACTCCCTTCCTCCTCTCCGCAGCAAGTACTAAGTTAGCCCTCCCAACCACCAGCCTAGGGAGTAGGTCTGGCCCTGGTGGTGAGAGCAGAGGGCCCAGTCTTTTCAACAGGAAACTCGCCTGGCAGGAAGGGCAAGGTTGAAGGGGATACCCAAGACCTAAGCCAGAGAACCAACACCTGGAACCTCCAGCTTCCCAACTGGATTCCCAAGAGATGGACCTTGCTCATTTCAAAGGAGCTTTTTCTTGACCTGATCTCCCTGGGACACACATCATTTCCTAGTCTCAACCACTCCAGAGTTATTACTACTTCTTTACTTTTGGCCTGCCTGGAAAGTTCTTTTCCTGTTTGATGTCCCACCTTGCCAGTCCCCTAGGAGAGGTCATTCTCTTCCTTACAAGGAGGTGGGAGCTAAAACAGTCTAGCTGTTGCTTCCCTAATCTCAGTGAATAAATATCAGTCAGTTTCCCCCTGTTTTTAAAAAAGGCTTGGGGTAAGGTGGTAGTAGAGAAGAGAAGTTTAGAATGTGTGATCCATCTGTGCAGGAGGGATTTTCCACCATGAAGTAAATCCCAGCCTAGGGATCTGGTCACAGGGGCCTTGAACTTTTCTTACATTTTGTATCTGAAAATCTATCAGCTGAGCTCAGAATGATGCACGAGGCATCTCCCATTCATTTAGCTGATCTTAATCTACTCCATTCCTTCTGTACAGCTGCAACTCCACCAGGGATCCTGACCTTTTGATTTTCTCTGCAGCACCATTCATTAAGGACAGATCTAGAGTTGGCCAAGGTAGAATTCTGGGTGGGAACAGCAGTAGCTTGCCTAACCTCATTAGGAGGTAGGACTCCTTGTCTCAGAATATCAGAAATTATATTCTAACCAGGGCTTAGATTCTTGACAGCAGTGCTATCCCAAAGTCCTAGAGTAATGAGACCCTTCTTGGAAGTCATGTGAAATCCTGGTTGGGTCAGGACTCAAGTTTCATAGAAGACTGAGAGTCCTAGATTATCATGACTTTCACACAAAGGGTCCTCAGGAAATACAACCCTGCTCCCAGGAACTCTGTACGCTTCTTACACAGGGATGGGTGGGACATGGAAATAACGTGCTACATAATCATTCCCCATCTTCAGGCCCAGGGATATCTCAGTGAGGTTGGATTTGTATTTACCTTTAGAAGTAGATGCCGCTAATCTTAACATAACCAGAGAACTATGACACGTAATTTTTTTTTTCTTAAGTTTTATATACTTGAGTAATCTCTACCCACAGCATGGGGCTCAAACTTAACAATCCCGAGATAAAGAGTCATGTGCTCTTCTGACTGAGCCAGCCAGGCAGCTCCTGACATGTAATGTCCTTATGGGACTTCCTAGAGGCCACAGGAGTGAGTCTCTGTTAGGGCTATGGAGACTTCAGCTTCAATTATGAGTACAAAAAGACTCCATACTTTTTTTGTTGTCATTGTGAGTGACTTTAAGCAAATCTTATAATTGCTATTTGTCTCGATTTCCTTATTATTATTTTTTTTTAAATTTTTTTTTTTCAACGTTTATTTATTTTTGGGACAGAGAGAAACAGAGCATGAACGGGGGAGGGGCAGAGAGAGAGGGAGACACAGAATCGGAAACAGGCTCCAGGCTCCGAGCCATCAGCCCAGAGCCTGATGCGGGGCTCGAACTCACAGACCGCGAGATCGTGACCTGGCTGAAGTCGGATGCTTAACCGACTGCGCCACCCAGGCGCCCCTAGATTTCCTTATCTTATTCAGGGATGCTGACCAGTTTTATCACTACAGACTTTTAAAAACCAATGTATGTGTTAAATATGAAAGCAAAAATCAATGCCTCTTTCCAGTACTATGTATCTGTACTACATAATTTGACTTGTCCCATGAGTTTCCAGCAGATTCCATGCAGAATCTATGTAACTGCCTATTAGTAACTAGGTAAAATTTGGTGTTTAAATTGATCAGCTGCAGGCTTATGTAGGCTACTTTTGCTCTCTTGTTGGGAAATTTAAAACTCAGGATCCTCAACTTATGAGCCCATCACTGAGGGATGGCATTCTCCCTCTGCCTCTAGAGACAAGGATGAGAGTGTCAAGACTTTAGTAGATTCTACATATAGAAAACAGTCAGTGGCTGCTTTGAGGAAACTTTGTTCCTTCCTCCTCTCACCTTATAAAACATGTCCCCCTCTTCCATCAGCTTGCTCAACAGGATGATCATGATGTCTGGTTTGGAGGTGGCCATCGCCCATGTGGCTGGACCTGTAGTGTACAGGATGCATGATGGGTAAAAAACTCAGACAATGTAAGGGTGGTAGGAAGCTAGGTGAAAAAAACATCCTGGGGGAATTTCTGCTGAGAGAACAACTTGCTCCACAACAATTTCCTCATCTTTCAGACCTGGGAGTATCTTAGGGACTCCCACTGCCAAGAAGCTGCGTTGGATTTGTATTCACCTTAAAATAAGAATATCTGAACTGTCTGAGCCTGCACCACAGGAGGGCAGCAAAGCCTGTGTGTTGTATTTGGGCAGGCCATGGCTAAATCTGGAGTTATTTTAAATAAGGTAATTGGGAGAAAGATTTTGCGTTAAATGTCACCACAAGATTTAAAAAATCCAAAAAGGGCAATTTATTTTAGAACCTGGGACTCAAAATCCCTAGCTGTTTAGTCTCTTAATTTAAAAATCTGTACTTTGCAGAAGGGGAACCATTAAAGATTCTAAAGGCTCCCTTAATTTGTAAGTATCAAATAGGCCTCCCTGGGATTTACTCTGAAGCAGGAGTACAATTTGAATGTCAAAAGATGTGAAACAAGCCAACATTACTGAGGACGACTTTACCCACAAAGAGAAAGAAGAGGTTAAATTGATTAGTTTATAGACACCTGAATTATTTACCAACTAAGCTTTTCAGGGTTAGTTATCAAAAGTTCAAGTTATTCTCTACAACAGTCATTAAAAAAAATCTTCTTTTAAGGTGAAGTAAATTAAAAGATTAGAGGTGTAGGGAACTCATGCAGGCTAAATCAAAGAGGAGAAGGCAAAGCTGACCAAGCCATCAGACCACGCCTGATGCTGACAGCGGTGAAATATACCTCGTGGGCGACTCGGTAACGTCTGACAACCTTCAAAGAAAGGAGAAAACAAAAAGTTGTAGGAGAGGAAAAAAAAATGGATGAAGGTGAAAAAAAAAAAAAAAAAAAAAAAAAAAAAAAAAAGAAGGAAAAAGCAGCAGTGAGAGGCAGGCAGCAAAAAAGCCAGCATATCAGCCAACCCTTGCCTACAGGTCTGTGGGATGGGGGAGCAGGTGGGACAGCAGCAGCAGGGACTGCAGAGTCGGAAGCACATACAGAGCAAGGGAAAGCAGAGGCTCAGGGCAGCGCAGGGATCGAGGAAGCTCACAGGGCGGGGCTGGCACAGAGGCATTAGCACTAAGATGTGCTTAAGGTTAGAGTAGCCTCCCGGTCAAGGCTACGTGGGGCATGGCAGATAACCATGTGATTCTGGACACAGAGTAGTGTAGACCATGGCTCAGATGGTGCTTGCTCTGGGCCAAGAGCCTTTCTGTTCACTTGGACAATAACTGGGCCAGGGCAGAGGGGAAACTACACACACTCACACCAAACACCCAGGGCGGCCAGACCACTGGACCAGTCTGGCCCCTGGGCACAGATGGTCAGCACCTTATTCCTTTCTCCTACCTATCTTGGCTCCTTTCTTCAGAAGAGTGACAACAACAGAAGTGTTCCGGCACCCCACAGCCCTATCCAAAGGGCGCATTCCGCTATAGTCAACATGCTCAATCATGGCCCCGTGATCCACCAGGAACTGGACCTAGGACATGGATCAAGGAGAACAGTTAACACAAGTGCAAGGGCTCAGTGCTGCTCCACTGAGTCTGGCTGCTGCCTGGACTTTATTTAACCACAGGTCTAAACCAGGCTGGGACCATGGTATTTACAGGCCATTCCTGTATTCTTCGTCTTTAGTGGTGTTTTGAATATTCCTGTCCTCTAGCAAGTAGGGATTTGAGAACCTTCTATCAGGAATCATCTACATGTTATTCTACCCTTAACCCTAGAAAACATTATGGACGGAGAACCTTCCTTAAGATCCCTATGACCCAGAGGCTTGTTTAAAGGCACTCACCACCTCGGCATCACCATAGAAAGCTGCCAGATCCAATGGGGTGCGGCCATTCTTGTCAGCATGGTCCGTAGCGGCTCCATTATCCACCAGAGAACGTACTACTGAGAGATGACCCTTCAAACAAGCCCAGCTGAGGGCTGTCAGCCCTTCTTTGTCCATGAGAGCAATGGAGGCACCTACAAGAGTAAGTATTAACACAAGCCTGAGGAAACCCAAAAAACATGAAAATTCAGAGCAGGAGGGAAAGCTGGTACTTAAGGTGTATGCTCTGCCAACGCACAGCTTTGTTTCTGGTATGTGAGTGGTCTTTCAATAAAACTGTTAAAAAAAAAATGATCCTACAAGCTTTCAGTAGAAGAGAGCCCAGTTGTTTTTACCGGGTATTCCAGGTCCTCCACAATCTACCCCCAAACTTCCTCTCTATGCTTAAGTTTCATTACATTACACCCCTGGGAGAATCCTCTACTTGGGCCGAATGGATGTGCTCACTGCCTCTAGACTCTCCCATAATATTCTGTATCCTCACTTTTGGTCATGTTTGCTTTCTCATGGGGAATCTTTTCCTTCCCCATGACCTGCCTCACTTCTACTCATTCTCTAGCAACCATTTCAAAATCCCCCTATTTCCAGGAAGCTTCTGATCACTGTTACCTCATCTTGAATCTGCATAACATATGTCACCTTATTCCATTATTAATCTTTTTTACGTATCCTACTTGCATGTAATAAATTCTCGATGAATGTTTTCAGAACTCAGCAAAAGTCTCCCATTTGTAGTAGTATAAACTCCTAGAGAGAATCTTGTAAAACAGGAGGAGCTCAGTACATGTTTATTATTGGTGATAGTACCAGGCCACTTTCTCCCTCCCTAGAATGTGGGGGAAATGAACTCACGGGAAGAGCCTGAGCCCAGGCCACAAGGAAATTCAGAGTTTATTTTTTTTTTATTTTTTTATTTTTTTTGGAAATTCAGAGTTTAATTAAACTTGTCAGCCTTCAGTGATCCCATCCCCACTCTCTTAGCCTCTTTGGTATTCTACATCTGTTTCTCTTCAACATTTGTATTTTCATCTCTAAGGATCAAGCACACTTGATACACTGTTTTGTAATTAGTCTAAAATTCAATATACATTTGATTCTTAGACTAGACTGTAAGCTCTTGGATGGCAAAGAGCCTGTCATTTCCTGGCTAGTTGTGAAGAGTACCTAAGACAATTCTTTTCACACAGTTGCCATGTTATACTAACTAAATTAGGATCAGCTTACTGCATACAGAATTCTTTCCAGGCTGCCTCCTCAGCTGGACAGGATTCAGATGTGAGATGTGCCACAGCTGGGCTCAGGGTCTACTTGGCAGTTACCCGCCCTATCACCTTTGTATCCCTAGAGGTCAGGCAACCAGACTCTGTGGCTTTCCACAGCAGGATGAAGGGCTAGAAGGTACCATACCTCTAGCCCTTATGACAGCCCTTTATGTATAGGGTTATCCTGTCATATATTGCAATTAAAACATTGACTCTAACACAGAATGGATTTGAATGTGGGACAGAACCTAAGGAGTTTTCTCAGATGCAACATCTATAAATTCCCTGGACAGAGCCTCCATTGGTGGAAGAAGCAGGATAAGAACGTTCTAATGTACGTTACAGATAAGCTGACCTTCCATAGAAGAGGAAAGCTGGAATTTAAGAAATTGGAGATACACATGAAATAAACCCCGATATTCAATTTACATCCAAAATTCAGTATGTAATCTTCCTCTTCTTTCTTTTCTTTCATTTGCAGTTAATGGAATCACACCTCTTCCAAACATCCATTTTAACATTCTGGAGTTAGCTTCAACTCAACTATCCTTCCTACATGTAATTGCTCTTTATATCCCAAATCATTTTTTGCACTTGGCCTTTCTGTTCTATTCTAACAGCTACTGCACCTGGATTAGCGCCTCATTACTTCTCATCTATTCTATTACAATGCTTCCTAATTGATCCCCTGGTCCACTCTAATTTCTCCATCAAATCTACTATTCACACTACTGCCAGAGTGATTTTTTTTAAAGCACAACTCTGGCATCAATTCTCTTTTAAAAAACCTTGAAAGGCTCCCCATTGCCTTCAGAATTAAGCCAAAACCTCTTTTAATCTGTTCCTTTTCAGTTTCTTTCCACATACGTTTCCAATTTTACTTCCCAAGAGCCGTCATGAGTTCACTGGACAACTCGCATATTTCTTTAAACCTGTTGTGTGTTGGTTCTCCTCCCTAACTTTTCATTTACAATCCCCTCCCTAAAACAAAACATTTTTCCTAGTCACCTTTCAAGGTCTGCCCTTTCCTAACTGAAATACCTTTATGAGAGCTCTTAGGATTCTTGGCTTTTCAGGTATTTTTGTTCCACTCCTTCCTTCCCAGATTACAGACTCTTAGAGGGCACAGACTATAGTGTGTTAGTTAAAAGAAAATCACTCACTGGCATATCACTAGAATAGTGTTCTGCGAATAATGTGGGCTACATACCTGTTTGTAGGGTTTGTTGCTTTAGTGGAAGTCTCTGAATTAAGTGTGAAAGAATGAAATACTGTGGATCCCTGACTTATGATGGTTTGACTTACAATTTTTCAACTTTACGATGGTGTGAAAGTGATTCGCATTTAGTAGAAACCATCCTGCGAATTTTGAATTTGGACCTTTTCCCAGGCTAGTGATGTGTGGGGACGGTGCTCTCTTGTGATGCTGGCTAATATCCGTGAGCCGCGGCTTGCCGGCAGCTGCACTAGCATGAGGGTCAACGGCGGATACACTTCTAACCATTCTGGGCCCACACAGCCATTGTTTTTCACATTCAGTACAGTATTCAATAAGCTATACAAGATATTCAACACTATTATACAGTAGGCTTTGTGTTAGATGATTTTGCTCAACTGAAGGCTGATATAAGTGTTGTGAACACGTTTTAGGTTGGCAAGGCTATGCTATTATGTTCTGTAGGTTAGATGTATTAAATGCATTCTGGACTTAAAATATTTTCAACAAGATATTTTAAACTTGAGTTTATCAGGACGTAACCCCATCATAAGTTGAGGAAGGTCAGCAGTACAAAGACCAGCATGTCTGCAATGGTAAGGGAGAACAAATCTCTGGAATCTGTGTCTGATAAGCTTCTATTGGCATGTGACAGACACTGTGCAGTGATCTGAAGGTTATCAGTGGCTGAAGAGGTCCTGTCTTTTCCAGCAGACTTGGGTTGTTCTGGGACATTTACTCATGCCACATCTTATCCTGAGAATCTAGGTACGTCCCTTTTTCTCCCCCAACCCCCTCTTGGCAGAAGTGAGGATAGAGATCATGAAACCAGACTTGTTTGTTGGCTTGTATTGGGGAAGCAAGAACCACTTTGCACACTGGAAGAGCAGTTCTCTGGTTCAGACCCAGTGTTATGAGTCTGAGGCTGTGGAAACAAACAAATAGCGAAAGACCCAATAAATCTTTGGCTGAGTTTTAGTTTGAAATCTTAGAAGAAACCTTGTTTTCTTCCTAACTCAACTACCTGCTGTTGTGCTGGCCTGGGTGTGATTCTTCAGGGGGCTGGTTTCCCTAAAGTGTGCATGCCCAGAGATGTAATTATCGATGTTTAGGTCCAGTTTGCTTAGAGGGAAGGCTATCTGGAATGGAATCACTAGGCTCCTCACAATCTACTACCTTCTGCTTCATGTAAACGCTCAAACTCCACTAGATGGTACTGTAGAGTCACGTGCGACTTTCCCACGATACAAGTCCACCATCACGCACCTCTGTTTTGTACAGGTGATTGAGGTCAGAGCAATCAAAAGGAGCCTGAAACGCTTTTGAAGGTGGTGTGTCTACAATCTGCTTTATTATTTCCCATTCACCAGGAGTATATGAATATTGGTTAATGTCAAAGGAGTTTATTACAACAGGAAAATAATAATATCCTGATTTCTCATATAGGGTCCCACTGTCAGCAACCGTCTTAATCTCTGTCTGCCTCCTCTGGATACAAGAAAAGTATTAGTTGTGCAGGCCTACAAGATAACTGATAAAGAAAAACTGCAGTCTTTGGAAGATGAACATCTGCTGAGTGTATATTAAAAAAATCAAAGTTTGAAGATTACAGATTTGAGTTAAAGAATTTAGAACATGTTAGTTTGATTAGAATACCAAAAATCCCTCAAGCCATAAAGAAACAAAGACTATCAGAGTGAAAGGGTCCCACTGTATCCAAGAGGAGAGGAGACAGACCTTCATATTTTAACCAACTAGATGAATAGTATCTATTCTTAACATCTCTTAGACTCCATCACTGGAAATCATGAATTCCTTGGGTTACTATAGGCACTGACCATCCCCAGCTCTGGGATCCCAGGACTGACCTTGTGCAAGTAGAAAGTCCACAGTTCCTAGATGGCCTTCAGAGGCAGCCATCATCAGCGGGGTACGACCCTGCTTGTCTGCCATGTTGACATCAGCTCCATGGGTGAGTAAAAGATCAACAATCTGCAAATGCAGAGAAACAGGGACAAATTATCCAGGAAGAGCTGCTGGGCAGACACATGCATGTTGTTGCCTACACTGTGGAATCTCGTCCTGCTGTACAGGTGAGTAACCTCTGCATGTAACTTTCTGCTGCAAGAACTCCCTCTAGTGTCTGCACAGTGCTAGTACCACGTGATTTGATGTCTGACTCTTTAAAGGATAGCCACATGAAAATTCAACTGTGTATTTCTGACTCAGCCCCTGAGTAAAAGAGAATTTAAGATAAAAAAGGCCAACACGTACACAAAGATGCTCTCATAATGGGAGCTCCAACATAAGTCACTACTTATGCCAGTGCCATTTTATTGATCTGTAGGGGTTGTAAGCCTACCTGCAGTGAATACTTACGACTGAAGGGAATATAATAAAGTGTCCTTGATAACTCTTTAATACTGTTTGGCTTCTAGAGCCTTTTTTTCTACACAAATACTTCCAAAGATTAATACCAATATGCTTTCTTTTCCATCCTAAGTGTATAAATTAGCATTTATCTGGAATTCAAACATCTGGAAAGACTGCATAGCTAGAACTTATATACACCACATTTTCTTTTGGCAAGCCTGAGATACCTGCAAGCAAGCTAGCAGGGGTCTGTTGGGGTATAAACCTTCCAGAGAACCTGTGGATACTGTGAGGTATGAGAAGGAGTCACTCCATGACCAGGCCAAAAGTAGCTAGTTCTTCTATACAATATAGATCATGATGTCTAAAAAAATTTTTTTAAACATTTATTTATTTTTGAGAGAAAGAAAGCACAAGCAGGGAAGGGGCAGAGAGGTTGAGAGACACAGAACTGGAAGCAGGCTCCAGGCTCTGAGCTGTCAGCATAGCGCCTGATGCGGGGCTCAAACCCACTAACTGTGAAATCAGGAGCCGAAGTTGGATGCTTAACCGACTGAGCCACCTAGGTGCCCCCTGCCCCCCGCTTTCTTAAAATTTTTTTGATGATTTTTTTTTTAATGATGATGATTCTGAATGTTAACTTTCTGACATATTCTCAGTTAACCAGAATATTAATAACAAAGGCCCAAGTCGTCAAACCTGATGATGGCTGAGTAACCCAAACTTTGTGATTTTTTTGCTCTCTGCCTCAGAAGGCCCTGTCTAGAACTCACCCCTACGTGAGGGATTGGAAGTAGCTGCCCTGCTTACCTGCCAATGGCCCTGGCGGACAGTGCTGAATAGGGGCACTGCCCCTCGGCGGTTTGGCTGGGCCACTGCTGCCCCCTGTTCCAAGAGCAGACGACATACCTCCAGTTTGCCCCTTCCAGCTGCAGCTGTCAGTGCTAAGGGCAGAGAACACAGACTGAGAACAGGTGGGGCTTGTCCTCTCTAGCCCTCTATGTTAAGCACAGAAGTATATCTGTGTTTGATTAATGTAACTGCTACTTTACCTCCAAGAATAATGATATTAGCCACTTTTACCATGAAGGAAAAATTTTTAACATTTATTTGTTTTTGAGAGGCAGAGAGAGACAGAGTGCAAGTGGGGAAAGGGCAGAGAAAGAAGGAGACACAGAATCCGAAGCAGGCTCCAGGCTCTGAGCTGTCAGCACAGAGCCCAACGTGGGGCTCAAACCCATGAACACTGAAATCATGTCCTGAGCCAAAGTTGGATGCTTAACCAACTGAGCCACCCAGGCACCCTTCCACGAAAGAAACTCTTAAAGAAAAATCATCAATAAAATCACATTTAAATGGGCTCACAATATATGGAGACAACTGTAATAATAAACTTATGATTAAACTTACTTGGTTTCATTTTTCCTACCTAGCCTGTCATCCCTGCTTTCGACCTCCCTCTTTTTTGGTACCTCTTCACTAGAAACCTTTCACGGGTCTATCTATGCCTGGGTGGGATGCAGACAGAAGGGCCTTTGCAGAGTAAGGTCTATTTTAGAATTAGTCAGGAACCACTTCTGGCCAACCTCTACTCCTGGACCCTTAAACCTAAAGAACTAAAGTCAGGATCTGCAGGTCACAGGGACTTGGGCCAGTTTTCATTTTTTTTTTTTTTCTTCATTAGCTGAGACAGAAGTTTCTAGTACATTTGCAACTATTTTCATATGAGGGTCAGAACTGTTCAAGGTAATAGTCTTAAAGATGAGAGAAGAGGTATAACAAAGGTTCTTCTGAAGACAAAATAATGGAATCACAGATCAAAAAAAATTAGCTACAGCAACTATAAGGGACACAGAAAGAAACTTAACATTCTTCTTTCTGGGCTGCTGTCCATCGTTCATGATCTTTGATAGAGTAGAGAGTCCATGGGTGCCGATTTCATTCTCTGAGTATGGTTTCAATAGTTGCAAGAAGGATTTGAAGATATACTTTCTACTAAGTCCATAATTTTTTTAATATATATTTTTTTTAACGTTTATTTTTTTTAGAAAGAGAGAGAGCACAAGACAGAGAGAAGGGGACAGAGGATCCAAAGAGGGCTGTGCACTGACAGCAGAGCCTGATATGGGGCTCAAACTTGTGAACTGCAAGATCATGACCTGAGTCAAAGTCGGACATTCAACCGACTGAGCCACCCAGGTGCCCTACTAAATCCATCCTTGAACAAATATAAATTTTTCATTTCACCATGGGGTCTCAAATGCATAGGTTCAGTGTTTTAAAAAGAATGCGGATAGAGAAATTTTTCCCAAATTGACTTGGAAAACTGATGTGGTGATCAGCAAGTCCTTCCTTTATTATGGCTACCTACTCCAAAGACAAATCAGAAAGAGACAATATTTGGTAGGTGCAGATAATATTTCAGTTTGCAAATGTTGGTATCTAATCAGGGAAGCAACAGAAATTCAAATCAAATGGTCACTTGAAATTTTTTTCATTGAAGGCAATCTGTGGCATTTTTGTCTTTGGGCTTGGTCAAATTCATCCACAGTTAACTCATATGCAAAGCCAAACTAACTACCTGTAGTTTCCACTAAGATTAACTTCAAGTAATCTTTTCTTCCCTCAAGGATAAGAAGGGCTTATGAAGAAAAATGTGACAGTTTTAGAAGATGTATTCACTCAAACTAGATATATCTATGCCTTGTCTTATGTGTATTTTCAGTTTTATTTTTGAACTGTTAACACTGTCATTTCTGTCCTATTCCTCACAGGAGGGTAGTGGCTTATCTGAGATGAGGGTCATTTCCAAGCCCTGAATGAGTGAATATAGGTATCAATGGGTATGATTATTTACTTGAAGTTTTGTCTCTTGTTCCTTACATCAAGGTGATCTTCCCTCTTTGCCAAGTTCATATATCTAACAGTTCAGGAACAACAACAACAACAACAACACTGTAATTCTTGGGTGAGAAAATAAGAGTGGCTTAAGAACTTGACTGGAAATCATGTTGTACACCTTTAAGTTTACACATGTTATGTGAAAATTATATCTCCATAAAGCTGGAAAAAAAAGAACTTGACTGGGGTAGACACTTGTTAGGAATCTTAAGAATCATTTTGTTGGTACATAAAATAAATGATTGGGAAATTTTCTAACTCTTACTTTCTGATTCCATTTAAAGTAGCTATGAGGTGATAGGGCTGCAGCAAACCTCCCTTTTAATTCCCTGGGTATGGTGGGGGAGGGTAAATACATTCTTTTTCACGGAAGAATTTATAGCCTGCTGGAGAAAATATAGACAGACAGTATTTCAGAATCAAGCCTTTCACCCATGATGCCAGTTTATAGAACACTGTTGAGAATATACAACCAGTGCCCATCTTGAAAGCTAAAATTTATATTGTTCACTCTAACCTGGAGTTAGATTGCTCTGGCTGGCCCATTTCAACTCATTGGATAACACATTTATATGAGAAGGAATGTTCCATTTGGCTTTTTTCTTTGTTGTATCATCTCTGTTGCTTAGGTTATGATGTAATTTGGCAGGAATCTCCAGCTGATAGCTGGACATGGCCATTAACACAGCTGGCCAATTTCATCTCAGAACAACACAACTATGTAAAATGGGATCTGTATTTTTCAAAATCCAAGAGCAAAAAACTGCTCTGGCTGGATTTTATAGAAGTCTTATCAGAAACTGTTAAAACTTTTTGAAAGAAAGAAGATTAAGGTAAAGCCAGTTCTATAAAACAACAAACTGATTCTTAGAGCAAACAGCAGTTTGGAGCCAAATCTCTTCCTAAAAGACCAGTAACAGAATTTGTTCCGTAGCCTGTCAGCATCTGATGAGATTATCTGACATAAATGGTCTTTTTTTCAAAGTGAAACATCTAAGGAGTCTAACGAGGCAGACAGGATGCAACTCAGAGTTGGGAAAATAGCCAAAGTCTGCTTGGATGGGATGGTGACACTAAGCAGAATGCAGCAAAGCAAATGGCTCTTCTGTTTATCTATTTTCAACCATGAAAGAACATAACACAGACGGGTCGTGCACGGCCAATGAGAGGGAGGTGGTTGGGGAGATATAAACTGATCACTGGTATCCAAAACAACATTAATTAAACATTTATTGAGCTATTTGTCAGACACTGACTGTCTCTGCTCTCAAGGAACTCAAGGTTGAGTAAGGATAACAGACAAATAAAAAATACACTACTATCCAGTGTATACGTTTTTGGAGGTAACGCAGAGAAAGAAGTGTCTGTGATCTTTAGGAAGAGATGTTAATCTGAGATAAATGCTGAAAGAGCAATAGAAGACTTACAGGCATGCAAAGACAAGGCGAGGCATGCTAGGCACAGGGAGAGCACATAGGAAGTTCGCACTGATGTGGGAAACAACATGTTTATTGTTACTGGAGTTACTAGAGAAGCCAGGCAATAGATGAGGCTAGAGATCATGACTGGTCTTCTTAAGAATATGCTAAATCACTTCATTAATGGTTCAGGTGGTCAGTAAAGGGTGGTAAGCAAGAAAGTGACATAAACAGATTGTGGCCCACAAAGATCACTTTGGCTGAAGTCACAAGGGAGATGAATCAGGAAAGGGTGACAAGATCAGCTAGGAGGCAGTTGCAATAAGGCAGGCGAGGATGATAAGGGCATGAGTTATGGGCATCTTGTTTACTTTGAGAACCCTTGCTTCTTTTGGGTCATAGGATGGTTCAGGCCCTCCAGAGTTGCTAGAAGCTTTTAATGCTGGTCTTGGTCTATGCTCGTAAGACAAGGGAGAAGAGGGAGTGGTGAACAATATTGTCACCTTAACTGCTTTTCTTCTGTACTGTTCCATAAGAAGTCTATGGAAACCCTGTGGGATGGGAGGAGACCAGCCAGATGGTGAAGGGTGGATGTAGGCAGATACTATTTGGAAGGATAAAGAGGCTGCAAAAGGAGGACAAAGGCAACTAGGATATTCTATTGACCTGCTTTTAGAAAACCCACTATATAAAAATTATATCTCAGTTAATATTTCACTATATGCCAAGATAAATTTCACTGATTCTAAGATGCGCTTTTTTTCCCTTCACGTTTTAACAACTCTAAAATTGGGGTGAATTTCGCAAGTGATGTGATAATAAAGAATGGTGGCATTTGATAGGCTGAGGGTTTCTTTTTTTGTAGTAGCACAAAAAATAATGGCTATATAGTTTCTTGCAGTTAGCGGTACCTTAGAATTGATATAGTAAATGATACAGATTGTTGGGAACATCACAACCATTGTATTTTCCTGAGGTAAAAATTGTGTTGTTCAGACCAGGGATGTAGGTACAAGACCCAACCAGCTGGCTGCAGGTCACAGACCTTCATTCTCTATATAAAGGGGACATATATAAGATTTTGTCATTGGAGAAATAAAACATCACAGTTCGATGGGTCATTATAAACTGTAAATGACTATGTGCTACAAGGTAGAAAGGAACACGTACGTATATTTAGTAAATCCATCACTATAGACCGAAAAGCAACTCGTAGTCTCTTCAATATTAGTAGTGAAGGTGTAGGGACATTTTTACATAGTGCGAACATAATTTCCTAGAAAATTTTCTGAAGCCAAATAACTGTTTATAGATCTGTAAGTTATATTACAAATGCATTTTATTCTAGCTCTATTTAAAAAGCATTTTATGTTTATAATGCTTAAATTATCTCAATAAATATCAAGTTAAACACAACATAATTCCGTTTACAAGCAAATTGACATGAAGCTTGGATTTTTTTTTTTTTTTTACAATCTTGAGATATGGTCCATATTTAAATAAATTAATGTAGCAGACTTCGTTGCACACCTTAAAATGATGAGATATTTAAAAAGACCTGAGGGCACACAGTTTTATTCTAATAAGAAACTCCTATCAATAAAAGTAAGTCTTCCACTTGGTTCACTCCCTTCTTGAACATTTTTAAGAAATTCTTTCAAGTACAGCACTAAAATATGCTTGATATTCATCACTATGATTACTAGTCTTACAATTCCTATCCCCTATCACCATCAGGCCATATTTATTTATTTATTTTTTTGCCCTCCCCTGGGGTTCCACGTGGCCGGCCTGGCAACACAGTGCTAGGAAAGGTCGAACTACCGGGAAGCCCCAACATGTCCGTCCCTTCTGCAGCTCTGTTGCAACATACATACTCCAGAACTGCCGACATCCTGGTCAGTTCCTTCTCCTCAGTTTGTCCTCTAGCTTCCCGTAGGGGAGAGTCCCGGAGACAGCATCTGTTTCCAGCTGCACAGTTTCCTTTAATCTGTCACGGGCTCTTAAGCTGCAGCTGCCTGGCATCTGTTCCCTTTGGCTCTTACAGAGGGAGGGATTGTTTGAGAAACAAATTCCTGAGCTCTGGACCATTCTACATGATGTTAAAGAAGCCATGAAACCTACCTATGATTTTTGCCATCAATGGAAATAAGACAATTTGATAGATAGCTCATTGTAAATTTTAAATGAATTCAAGTGCCTTCTTTATTTTTAGTAACATTCTGACTCTAACCAAAACACATACCCTTCTTGTTTAATAAAATATTCCCCCTAAATTGGCCATCTCAATATTGGTCTACCTCTGGCAAATATGATACGTATCTGTGGTGACTCTACAGCTTTCATTGCCCTGGTCTCATAAAAACACATAAAAGGTTACTAATGTTTCTCCAGATGTTCCAGTTTAGACTTGGGGGAAAGACAATAATCATTTCCTGCAAAGGCCACAAAGAAGAAACTTCTGTTTATGTGGTAAGTACCAAGCAATATAGAAATCTCTTGGCTACAGATCAGAAGGGACTGCCATGGGCTGTGCCTGAGACGGTGGTCCCTTCATTTCGTATCCGGAGAGCAACTGTACTTGTAATGTAGCAGTGTAACCATGTCAGATACCACTCCGCCTGATAACACTTGGTTAAGCCGGAGGTATGGATACAGATTGAATCTCCCGGTTTACAACTGCAGGTGGAGCCATTTTGATGGGAGAAACATTTACACGTAACTACTGCAAGGATCACATAAAAGAGAGGCCACAACTATTTTCTGCTCTGGTTTGGCACACTGGAAGGAAATTTTTAGTCTTTTAAAAATATTTGGCAACAGGAACACGGTAAAGTTTTGGTTGAAAGAAGACTCCGGTGCTAATGATATAGAGAATCCAAAGGGAAAGAGGAAGAAGGCCATTGCTTGACTTTTCACTTTGGCTGAATCAATCTCCAGTACAAAAGCCATCGAGATGGAGACTACCAAAGGTATACCAGAGGAAAAATCAGGGTGTGAGATGCAGCGTGTCCCCACACAAATACAACACATTTATGAGAAAAGACAGTAATGTCCATGAGAAGTACCTGTCTCTCCCCAGAGACTGTCAAAGCTGTTGATCTGCGCTCGCTCTACTTCTTCTTCATCTTTTTCTGGAAGATCAAGTAGGTAGGAGACAATCTGAAACAAGAAGTTGTGTCAGCTCACACTTCAGGTGGGAAACTATGCTACCAGCTCTAGCCTGTGAGGTTTGAAAGATACCTGGATGACCCAAGGGTGACAAGATCTCTTGCACACGAAAGAAATCAGAACTGACTATCCCAGCCAAGAAACCCAAAGCTTCCATGATGAGCATCTGTTTTATCGGGTACGTTTTTTTTTTTTCAAAAAAAATTGTTAATGTTTATTTTTGAGAGAGACAGAGTATGAGAGGGGAAGGGACAGAGAGAGAGAGAGAGAGAGAGAGAGAGAGAGAGGGAGACAGAGAATCCAAAGCAGGCTCTATGCTCTGAGTTGTCAGCACAGAGCCCAATGCGGGGCTCGAACTCACGAGTTGTGAATCATGACCTGAGCCGAAGTCAGACGCCCAACTGACTGAGCCACCCAGGTGCCCCTATCGGGTACGGTTTCTATGTTTCTCTTCAACACCATTCACTTACATAGCATGTGGCTTTTAAAACATTTTTTATTCCTTGTATTTAAGTTGAAGAAGCAAGCCCTCATTCTCCCAATAAAAATACCAATAAATAAAGAGAAAATACTAATCAATCAATAAAAACCAGAAAGCAAATATGGAGAAAATCTAGGGCTGTATTTCATCAGAGTACAGCAGTGATGATTTTTTTCCTCTCAGAAATACCAAGACAGCTGTGGGGACAGCAAAGGGAGAATGACTACTGACATGAAAGCAAAAGTGACAGCTGTTTCCAGGGATCTGTCTGTAGAGAGAGCTCACAAACCCACTGATATTAAATATTCCAGTTTTACTTAATATCCCTTCGGTGGCACATCAGGTCAGTGGGCAGGGTAGCTGTGTCACTGCAGCAGCCCATGCCCCGTGAGCCAACAGTTACTGGCCCGTGACAGCCGAGCATTGCATTGCCAGTTTTGTAAGCCGGTTGCTGAATGAAGGTGTTTGTTTAAAGTTAGGTAACAACCAACCACATTATCTTAAAAACAAAGGTTAAAAATACAAAATTTCATGACTTCTTAATTATTTAACTACATTGTGCATTGTCTGTACTCCTGATTGTGTCTGTCTGGTGGAGACAGCACACAGTGGTGTGCTGTGCCTCTGTGCATCTCTTCACAACCCTGTGCTCAGGGCTGTAACATGGGTCACTCTACATCAGCTGCGGTGGGAGAATTTACACCTTGGAAACTGGCAGACATTTCACATCGAGTTGATTTACTGCAAAAGCTCCAAGAGGTTCCAGTTTAATTAATATAATTGGTATGAGGGTAAGTAGTAGTTTAACATAGATCACATATCAGATTTAATGACAATAAAATTATTGGGAAAAGAGAAAATTGGAGTGTAGCTCCATTTGTAAATGATTGCTGAGATGCAACCACAGGTTGACTTAAGATATGAATTTCACAAAAATCGAGCATTTCATTAAAAGTATTGTATATTTCATTATTTGTAAACTGTGTGCTATGTGTTCTTCATAGCCGTAAAATGTACACACACACACACACACACACACACACACACACACACACACACTTCTGCTCCATTACACTACCCTCTTGGATCTTGGAGCTAGATGTTAAACATTTTCTGGCAAGTATCAATTGCATATATTTGCCACTATATTATTACTATCAGTAATAAATAAATTAGCAAAAATACAGTTTGTATAGTGTTTAACAGTTTTCAAAAGCACCTTTCGTACCAGCTTTGTAAAAAAAAGTATTCATTAGACCCATTTTCCTGATGGGCAACTAAAGTTCTAAGAGATTAGGTAAATTACCCAAGGTCCAGAGAGAATGAGTAGCAAACTGGGACTCAAACCTGGTCCTTCTGAGATTCCAAATGTTGTGCTCTTCCCTTTCCAAACCGCCTCCCCATGTGAATGCAGGTCAGTAAATAATCCTGAGGAGCCCAGTGTCACTGTCTGTTATATCAGAGTGGCAAGATGGGGAGGAATTAGACTGGCCGATTTCCAAAGTACTTTCCAGCTCTCAAGTGCTATATTCATAATTCTACATATGCTGGTAGTTGAGAATTCAAGTGCTGCATGGAGTTCAATTTCCTATTCCTCAAAGCAGTGACCAAAAAGCTAATCCATACTAATTAGGCTGGTAATTTTGTAATAATGCAACCCTTTTTAGCCTGTTTCCTCAGTCCTTCAATACACGGCTTGGCAAAAACCCCCCAAGTCCTCAACCTTATCACCTGTTTTCTTACCTCGGTGTAGCCCATGCTGGCCGCAGCGATGAGGGCCTGTTGGATGGCGTGGCTCTTCTTAAATACTCCTTGCTGCTGGCCGGCCATCGTCCAGTCACACTGAATCAAAAACTTGACAACCTCCAGATGACCTCGGAGTGCAGCATGGACCAAAGCGCACTGCCCATTCTTGTCCAAATGATCCACCTCGAGGGGAAGGACACAGAAATGTGTGTGAACAAAGACTTGTGGCCGCACTTCTGATCCAGTCACACTGGCCCACTGCACACGACTACAGTACCAAGAGTCATCCCTTCCCATATCCTGAACCATTCTCTAGAGAAAATCTAGAAAGTTCTCGCCTACTCAGGCTAGATCATTGCTGAGCTGTAACTCTGGTAGATATCCCTCAGGGGAGAACTTCTTTTCATAAGGCCAGACTTTTGTTTTCACAGAAAAAGGGACCAAACAAACAAACAAACAAAAACCCGACCAAAACTCCCAGCTCCAGCTTTGTTTTCCTGAGATACATTCTCCTTTGTCCTCAAATAGTTCTTTTCAGACCAAGATTTGAAAGACTGTAGCTCTGCTGGCACAAAAAAGTGTCTTTGAAATCATGAAAGGGAAGAAAAACATTCTGAAGCTCACATTTTTTGGTCTTCCAAAGAAGCAAAATACCTCATATCATGAATCATACTTTTGACCACCAAGCTTTGGCGGAGGGCACTTCTTCCTTCCAACGGGAGGGCGGAATCTCAAGGATCTGGCCAAAATGGCTAGCGGTACTTGGAGCTTGAGGCTAGACCATGTTCCAATAGCAGCTTTGCTAGCTGCAGTGGTGGTTACAAGTGTAGGTTGAAAGAAGAGCCTGGTTAAGATCAGTCTACCATAAGCTAGCTACAAGTTTCAACAGAAGAGTAGCCTCGCCTGGCAGGCAGGCTTCCAGGTAGTTAGAGCACCTGAAACGTAAGTTCTCCACCTGGTTCTCCCCAGTTTTAGTTCCACCCGGCAATCTATTCAACAAATGTTTATTGAATGCCTACCATGTGCAAGGTACCACACAGGATGAAAAGGTGAGTAAGACAGTAAATATAGACTCTGTTCTCAAAGACTTTCAACCAAGGTAGGGCAGGTGCGACCAATATAAACAAAAGCCTATCCAACAAGGAATAATAAATGTCATATGGAAAGTAAAAGTGCAATAAAACTGAAGAGAATTCCCAACTAGAATCAGGAACAGATTCTGAAGGAAAGGTGCTATAGTCTGAATGTTTTTGTCCTCTTGAATTGTATGTTGGATTTCTCACCCCCAGTGTAATGATATTAAATGGAGAAGTGATCAGTGTCCTAATAGAAAGGTCGCAGAGAGCTTGCTTTCCCTGTTCCACTATGGGAGGACACAGTGAGAAGGTGCTGTCTATAAACCAGGAAGCTCTCACCAGATGCCGGATCTGCTGGCACCATGGTCTTGAGACTTAGTTTCGGAACTGTGAGAAATAAATGTTGTCTATTAGCCACTCAGTCTACAGTATTTTGTCATAGCAGCCCCAACAGACTAAGAAAAGGCCCATCTCAACTGGCTGAGATAGTTAATGACTAACTCTAGTTGTTGTAAGGTAAGGCACATGAAGGGGAAGTTTCAACTACAAAGTTGAGAGGGTCTTTTGGGACCAGGGTATGGATACTTCTGAATGCCAGGCTAATTTTAATCAGTAGGTAATGGAGGGTCACTGAGAATTTTCATGCGCATACTGTATTTTCAAAAACTAAGAGGATGAATAAAATGTGTTTTGGCTCATTGGAGAAATGATTAATTCCTGGGCTGGGGCATTACTAGTAAACAATGAGTATGGAACATCTTGTGGTGCCATAAAGCACAGAAACACTCATAAAATAATTTAGTGGAAGTTGAAAGGATACAGGAACCAACTTGAGGGAGGTCCCAAAGGCCAAATCTTGGGCAATTTGAGCAAGAAAATAAATAATAATGGTAATGGGTTACATAGGTCATAACATAAAATAAATAAAGGAACCCATAGTGCTATAAATAAATAATCCAATACATACACGGGGGAGAAGGGACAACTCTTCTTTACATTAAAATTCTAATTAATAAATGTTGAAGGAATGAGGGAAACAGAAACTCGTCATTAGGCAAAAACACCATAGCAATCATTATTGCAGCAAGAATCTCTGACAGGTGGGATCCTAAAATCAGTGAGCAAAAGCATAAGAAACAAGCTATCTGCCTAGTCTCAAAGCATATCCCTAAAAGATACTTCTTAATTACAAAGGGAAACACAGTGGCTTCAGAACTGAGAAATCTGGAAGGCACAGTCCTGCCCAAGGGAGAGAGGTTAGCATCCCTGTAACAGGGGATCTGACGATGAGGAAAGATCTATCTAAAAGATCTCTCATTGGGGTGCCTGGGTGGCACAGTCGGTTGAGTGTCTGACCTCAGCTCAGGTCATGATCTCGTAGTTTGTGAGTTTGAGCCCTGTGTTGGGCTCTGTGTTGATAGCTCAGAGCCTGGAGCCTGTTTCAGATTCTATGTCTCCCTCTCTATGCCCCTTCCCCACTCATGCTCTGTCTCTGTCTCTCAAAAATGATTAAACGTTAAAAAAAATTTTTTTTTAAAGATCTCTCATCTAATGGTGAGAAAAGATCAACCTACAAATGAAGAACATTCTAAAAATAATAATATTCTACAAATAACTACAAATTCTTCAGTATTTTGGTGCTGATGCCATGGGAGAGAGTTTGAGGGTGGAGAAGACCAAAGGAGAGAATCTCAGTGAACAGTGTCATTAGGAGAAGGAAGAGAGAAGAGCAACCAGACAGGCAGGAAGGGAACCAGGCCTGTGCTACAAATTCTGGGAAACGTGTCAATATTGCCAACACTATGGAGAGGTTTAAAGGGGTGAGGAATGAGAAAAGTTACTTTACTTGGTGATTGGCAGTTGTTAACAACTTTTGAGAGTAGCTTCGGTTGAATGTCAAGAGGTTAGGTGTTTTGTTCGTTGGTTGGTTTTTAAAGATTTTATTTTTAAGTAATCTCTACACCCAATGTGGGGTTCAAACTCACGACCCCAAAACCAAGAGTCACATGCTCCACTGACAGAACAAGCCAGGCATCTCCTCCGCCATTTTTTTAAGGAATATTTTTTATTAGACCCTGAAAGAGATGAAAAGAGACTTTCTCTCTTTTTAAAAAGGCTTTATCACTTTTAATTCTCACGGTGACCCTTTTAATCCTTTTGATGGATGCAAATAGTGAGACAGAGGTTAAATGACTCATCCAAGTGCTCACAGAAAGTAAGTGTAAATGTAGGCTTTGACCATGTGACGTCTGATCCCAAAGTTTTTTATTTTAATGACTTAACTACTCTTTCTTTCATGGAGGCCAGACTACAAGTGGTGAAGGGGCAGTGAGGAAGCAGGTAGAGATGGCTCATAGGACAGGATTAGTGGGTGTGGAAGGGAAGAGATGGAGTGGTGCTTCCAGTCAGCAGGAGGGTGGGAAGTTGCTGTCTGGGTTACAGGACACATTCATAGGTTTGTTGAGAATTCAGAAAGAGAATGAAACGAAATGTGAGAGAAGAGCAACACAGAGATAGAAAACACAGGTGGAGCCAAGTGCTCTGGAAAGGAAGGGAAGCACTTCCTCTTCTGAGGCAGCAGTGAAGCGAGCGTAGGTAAGGATTAATAGTCTTGAGATGAAGGCACATTGAGATGAACTCAATCTCGGTAATGTAGGAGGGCAGGAGAGGTTGGGCAGGATCTTGGGAAGAATGCAAATGATTTCCGTATCTGCTCTGGGGAAAACGAGAGAGGGCTTAGAATGAGAACTGGGCAGTAGGGAAGATCCAACTGAGATCAGAATATGAGTTTGCAGCAGTAGTAACAAGGTCCAGTTGTTCTGTTTTTAGGGATGTTCATTCAAATGAGCAGGATTATAGGTGGACATTATAGGTCTGTGTCACAGTAAATATCCAAGGCTCTGGGATTTAACTGAGAGTCTCGAGTCCCAGTTCCCGAAAGTCTCAGGAGTCCCCCCCTTCTTCCCTGGTAAGAACACTGGACACCTCAGAATGAGGTCATACATATTACTTATATTTCACCGCAAAACCACTAAAATCGTCAGTTTGTTTTCAAGACAAACAAAATGCCACAAGGCTACAATTTTCCTTAGAGGCCGACATTTTTGAGACCAGCATTTTTCTTTTCACCAAAATTTTGAAAGAGAGTTTTCTTTCTTTCTTTTTTTTTTTTTTTATCAGCAGCTCTTGAAATACCATGAAGCAAACACTTTTTCAGAAAGGTCTTCTGAGAATTAAAATACACCAGCGGAGACACTTCTGAGGGCATGTGAATCATGTTCTCCCCATACCACTATGGCGCTGGTCCTCAAGGCTAGGGTCAGGGAGTCTGGCCCCGGTTCTCACCTCCGTGGCTAGTTTTCCTTCTCTACATATGAAAGGCTCAGAGTCTGTGGGCACAGTTCAGTTAGGCCCTCCCAGCGCAGGGTCTTTGCTCCTGCACTTCTTCTTCCTTCCTCACCCTGCGCCCAGTAGAAAACTCCTTGGCAGTGAGGTGGGGACTTTTTGTGGCTGCTGATAAACGCAGTTTCCTAAGTACCTCCCAGGGGTTTCAAAACTGTGTCCAGGTGTGGAATGGCCAGTGGCAAGTGGACACACACCGGGCTCCCTGTGATTTGTTCCCTCATGTATTTGATGTGCTCTGCCTAGACTCGCGAGGTAACACAGGAGACAAGGAAGACTCTACAGCAGGGAGGGAGGAAAAGGGAGGAAAGGAAGAGGAGCAGAGTGGGGCAGCCATTACCTTGGCGCGTTTCTTGCACAGCAGCACAACGATGCTCAGGTAGCCTGCTGCCGCGGCATAGCCCAGAGGAGTCAGGCCGCTTTCTGAAGACGCATCCACGTTGGCCCCAAACTCCAACAGCAGGGCCACCATTTCTGTGTAACCAAGATGAGACTGCACACACAGAATTGGAGCATTATTTAAAACCTCTGTCCGGTAATTAATGTTGGCACCTCCCAAGATCAGGAGTCGGCTGACCTGGAAAGAAGTAAACAGAAATTACACACAGGCCAAGATCAGTTGCAATCTTTCAGCCACCTTTAATCAAGTCCCCTGGGACCCCACAACAGCACTCAGCAGCATCTAGTAACTGCCCTATTTTATAGTCTTCACTTGCTCCTTTCTCAATACTTTGCCTTTAGAAAGGGTGGTAAAATGTCTCCTTTACATGAGCTGCTCAGTCATGAGCGCAAATGTCACCCACACAGTAGTTGTGTTCACACAGTCTCTGCTAAGTGAACAACAGTTCAGAAAAGCTCCTACTGACACAAAGCCTACCTGAGATCAATTTACTGCCTAGAAGCAGGAGCACCTGATCCTATAAACCAGAGCCAGCTCAGAGAAGGTAGTAGTTTAAGAGGGCTGGTCTTCAATTCACAGAAAAAAATGCAACAATTTAAAATACATCCGATTATTACTGCTTCTCCGCCTTCTGGCTAAGACCAAGTGTAAAATACATTAGATTATCAATAAAAGACTGACTGGTAGGAGACAGTCTAAGGCAAGTCAAAGATCAATTAAACAGCCACTTAAATGTCCTAATTTTTTTTTTTTCAACGTTTATTTATTTTTGGGACAGAGAGAGACAGAGCATGAACGGGGGAGGGGCAGAGAGAGAGGGAGACACAGAATCGGAAACAGGCTCCAGGCTCTGAGCCATCAGCCCAGAGCCCGATGCGGGGCTCGAACTCACGGACCGCGAGATCGTGACCTGGCTGAAGTCGGACGCTTAACTGACTGCGCCACCCAGGCGCCCCTAAATGTCCTAATTTTACTTTTGCACAGCTAATTCTTTAATCTGTCATTTACATGCATTTACCTTTATATTTGGAGTGTAGAGATTTCGTAAAGATGCCAATGCCATGGAAAGGCCTTCTGTGCTGTAGGAGATCCAGAGACCTTGGAGGATAGAGGAGGACACGCCAACTTTTTTACTCAAACCCTGAAAAAGAAATCAAGTCAATTATTAGCCCAGCTCAAGAGGACCGTCGGTAGTGAGTTAGTGGCCTTTAGGTTTGTTGTACTAATAAATGAGAGTAGAGTCTTGCCTTAACAATGTCCATGGCCAGCAAAACCAATCTACTCATGGGGATAAAGACTAGTCCTGTGGCAACAAGCTAACTTAAATGGTCTCTATCTTAGCAGTCTCTGGCAACAAATCTACTGATTACCCCTCTTTTCTGCTATGCTGGATGTAATTCTTTCCCCACATCTTTTCTGACAAAGATAATGCAGTGTGGTCACTGATTTCCATCTCATTTTCTTCCTGGGCATTTGGGAAAAGATGTTTCCCAGCTTCCTTTATGGTTAGGTGGGCCATTTGACTGAATTCTGGCCGGTGAAGTATGGGCAGAAATAGTATGTTGCATCCAGGCTTGGCCCCAATCCCCCCCACCCCCCCACTTTCTATTGCTTCTCTTGACTGCGGGCTGGAAGATCCAGCGGAGGAGTCTGAGGCCCTAGACTATTTCAGAACTACTACATGGAGGGAGCCTGCCTAATAATCTTCCCTGAACTGCAATGTGAGAGAGAAAAAACCGTTCTCAAATCACTGAGATCCTACAGGTTTGTTATAGCAGCTAGCACCCCTCACCGTGACTAACACACCCTAAAGTGATCACATCTGTTCATCCCTACAAAAACAACATAGGTTTGATTGCCATCAGCAATAAATTTTCTCTAGTATGACTGAATAGGTCCCACGCATGTACTAATGTTTGCCCCCTTCACCTGGCTTCTCCAAAAGGAAGTCAGAATAATTTTGAAAATTTCTGGATAGTCATATATTCTCTTGCAATCATTTTACTCTTCTGCCTATATCTGGGTGAAGTGAGTTAAAGCAGGAAATCCTGAGGAAAGGAAGATACTAACAATGAAGTTTGGCACCTAATAAGTGGATCTGGGGAGGTATTCTCTTAAAAAACTTAAGCTACTTTTGCCTGCTTTGTTCCTTGAAATGCAGGTTGTTTTTGCCTAGAAGACCTGCATATGTCCAAAACAGCAATTCATGGCCAATCTTATTTTATTTATAATCCTTCCCCTATTCCCCAGTCCCCATGACTGAATTATTTTGAAGCAAATTCCAAACATCTTTTAAGTTACAATATAACTATTTCAGTAAATGCCTCAAAAAAGATAAGGGCTCTATTTAAATTTTTATTTGAGAGAGAAAGTGAGAGAATGCTAGAGAGTGCAGGTGGGAAAGAGGCATAGAGGGAGGGAAGGAAGGAGGCAGGGAGGGAGGGAGGGAGAGAGGGAGAGAGAGAGAGAGAGAGAGAGAGAGAGAGACAGAGAGAGAGAGAGAGAATATCTCAAGCAGGTTCCATGCTCAGCACAGAGCCCGATGCAGGGCTTGATACCACAACCCTGGGGATCATGACCTGAACTGAAATCAAGAGGGATGCTTAACCGACTGAACTACCCAGGTGCCCTGATAAAGGCTCTTTTTAAAACAAAGCCCAACATCATTATCATATCTAAAATTAACATGGACTCTATAATATCAAATATCCAGTGTTCAGATTTCCCTGACTGCCTCAAACAAAGAAATAATTTATTTTGGTCTGAATTGTGATCCATAAAAGGTCCATATGCTATAAGTGATTTTAAAACACTTTAAAAATATAAATAAAAAATTAGATATTCTTCTATTAATTTTATTTATTTAATGAAATTTATTGTCAAATTGGTTTCACCCAACACCCAGTGCTCATCCCAACAGGTGCCCTCCTCAATGCCCATCACCCACTTTCCCTTCCCCCCACCCCCCATCAACCCTCAGTTTGTTCTCAGTATTTTAAGAGTCTCTTATGGTTTGCTTCCTTCCCTCTCTGTAACTTCCCCTGCCCCTCCCCTTCCCCCGGTCTTCTGTTGAGTTTCTTAGAATCCACATATGAGTGAAAACATACGGTATCTGTCTTTCTCTGCCTGACTTATTTCACTTAGCATAACACTCTCCAGTTCCATCCATGTTGCTACAAATGGCCAGATTTCATTCTTTCTCATTGCCAAGTAGTATTCCATTGTATACATAAACCACATCTTTATCCATTCGTCAGTTGATGGACATTTAGGCTCTTTCCATAATTTGGCTATTGTTGAAAAGTGCTGCTATAAACATTGGTGTACAAGTGCCCCTATGCATCAGCACTCCTGTATCCCTTGGGTAAATTCCTAGCAGTGCTATTGCTGGGTCATAGGGTAG